TCTCAGAATAATCTCAAAAATAAAAATTCTCTGCTCTACTTTGGAGAGCATGAAATAATTTGTGTTTACACAGTTTTTTCAATTACTTTGATGCTGTGATATAAAGGTCACTGATTGCCTCTAGTCATCACACGGCTTTTTCACTAATTGTGCACTCACGTCACTTTGTTCTGTGGGACCTTTCGCTTTTTGATCCAGTTTCATTGCCCAGATGTTCATTTTAGACAGTTATAACTCTATACAAAGGGTGTTTAGACAGTTATAACTCTATACAAAGGGTGTTTGCTCTGTTCCAGCAAACACACTGGTTGTTGTTCCTGGCTGGGAACTCGTGCTCAGCAGCTCACCTGCTTCCACCATCAACCTACCAACCTTTGGGCTGCTTTGGTGTAAAATCAGTCACTGGGGAGAAGGAGGAGAGAATATGCAAAAATGTTTCCTGCTCCACAGCCTTGGACTGATTAGGGTCATGCTGCAGGATGAAAAGACAATAAGAAATGGGAAAGCTCTTTCATTTTGACCCTTTTGGTGTGCAATGGGGTGGAAAATCACGTCAGCACCTTGAAAGGTTTGCTCTGGTGTCTTGGAATGGATTGATGGATACCTAAACATCTGCAAGAGGGAACCCTATTGCCCATTCCCATAAAGGCTTCATGTCAAGCCACAGATGGAGCCTGATGGGCCCATGGGGGTGACTCTCAGGTATCCAGAGGCACCTCTGGAGGGCCTGGGGATTTCCTGGCTCACAGATTCCAGGAGGGGATGGATCTCAAGGTTATCCCATAAAGGGCAGCCCATTGGCTGTTTGTTGAGCCACGTGCATATCACACAGACTGACTGTTTGGTTTAACTTAACCTTTAGAGCAGACATGAGAGCTTAGTTCCTGAGCAGGATGAATTATGTGGAAGGAAGGAGGAAGATTGTGCACATGAAGGCACTGGCTGTTGCTGAAAGGCCCGTGGAAGATGAGCAGTGGAAAATTGGACAGGGATTGGGCAGTATATCATGTAAGGAGGGTATAACTTGGCAATATATATCTGTGAAGGTTTTTAAATCTCTACCTTGGCCAAAAGTGACCTTCCAAATGACAGGAATCTGGCTATCTTGAGCCCAAATGTTCCTAGAAAGACGACCCTACAAAGCTGTCCTGGCTGCTGGCAGGGGCAGCACTGCTGGCAACGTGCACAGTGTTTGGAGGGCCAGGCTGAGGTGTAAGAGGAGCTCCAGCCCAAAACAGGCAGAGGAGGAGGCCTGGAGAGGAGCTGGCAGCAGGCAGTGATTTTTGACACGTCTCCCACTCAGCTCTAAGGCTGCTGGGCAAGACCTGCACAAGATGGAACTGTGGTTTCATGTGCTGATATGATTGGCTGTGGCCCCCTTGTAGATCCCTAGAAAGGCCAGGATATCCCCTGCATTCTTCCTGTGCAAACCTAGGGAAGGGGAGCTGCAGATGCCACTGTCTGCTCTGTGTGCTCAGCGTGGCCAGGAGGGAAGCAAAGGAGATGGAGAAAACCAGGAGTCCTGGTCTGGTTCTTGCTACCAAGAGTGGATGGATAAATAGAAAGGTACAAAGCTTTTGTTTTCCAAACATGGTATTTCCCACAGCTGGTCCTGCTGGAATTGGTGAGCAGAGATAGACCCTTCTCCACACTGCAGCAACTGCAGCACTACAATTCTCCATTTCCCACTCCTGAGGCTATAGATCCCCTGGCACAGCTCTCAATTCCCTGTGCAGTGCACAGCATGGCTTTTACTGAAAATTGCTGGGAAAACAACTCTTCTGGAGCTTTATTCCATTAAAAGTTTGTTTGTTTGTGGTTTTTTTCTTCTTCTATGCATCTCCTCATTTCCCCCTGCATCCAAGCAGCCACCTGCATTCAGTACCAGGCACGTGGAATGCCCATAAAGATCCCTTGCAGACCATAAGAGTTTGGTGGAAATGAGGCCAGGTGCCCAAACTCCTCTGCCCTTGCCACCAGCCCCCTCCAGCAGCCTGACCTGGGAGGCCTCCGGTGCAGGATTTCTGTGCTGATCTGGGGCAGTGACTGACAGCGGCAACGAGGAGCTCTCTGGGGCAGAGGACGGGGAGGGCCGTGGGGAGCTGGGTCTCCTGGGACAAGCTCCAGTCTGCCCCAGGGAATGTGCTAATTTTCACTCCTTTACAGGCCTTTATCTCAGCCCTTCGACCTTGAGCTCAGGGGCATTATCAGCCTCAGCCGGGGAGGCAGGGTGGAGTTAACCATTCAAGTGCTGATGCTTCTGATGGGAAGTCCTGAAGGTGAAACCACAATGAATGCAGCTTGTACCAATAGTGCAGCATCATCACTGAATCGTTCAGGGCTGCTGAGAACTGGTTTCTGATGTTAGGAATAATATTTTAAACTTGAATAGATGCTTTTTGAACTACAGCAGTTTTCAAAGTTTGTGTGTCCCTACAAAGTTCCTTGGGCATGTAAAGGCCTCCTGTAAGACTGTCCTGAGGGCATTGCTGCACGGGCTGCAGGGACTTGGGTTTCTTTGTCCCCTTTTCTTCCTCACCTGGACCCAGTTACTGATATCCAGAGCACTGGTCTCATGCTTTCTGTGGGTCCCTGCTATCATGGTAACACACTTTCAGCTTCATAAAATATTATACAAACTCTTACCATTAAAAAAAAAAAAAAGAAAGTCATTTCCTGGAGCAACCTGGATGAATGTGTTGCAGAATGAGCTGAAATGAGACTTCCATGGGCTATTAATGAGTTATGAATGTGCTTATGTACATGTGTGTCTTGTTTGGCAAGATCAGCTTCTCTTCTGTACCTGGCAAATATTAGGCAAGAAAAATATTTCCTTTTCCCTACTGGGGGTGAGTGGTCTCTCCACGGGCAGCAGTAAGTGGGTAGAAGCAGGATTTTTTGTGGAATATTCCTGCTTAAACAGTTCAGTGTTCATGGAGTTAATTTGCTCATGCCTTCGGATTGTTTTGTTTCCAGGGATTCTAAACCGTTGCCTCCAGCTGTTCATTTCCATTGACGAGGATGATCTTTATCTGTCTAAACTAGTTAAAACCTGCTCCACTACCCAGCAGCCTTTTTGGAGACAGCCCAATAAAGCTGAGTGCGGTGGCTATGACACCAAAGCCTCCTGGACATCATAAATTCCAAGCCCTACTTTTTTTTCCTGACCTCTCCCTGTTGGAGCACCCTTCCTGTTTTAATGAGACCCTTCACTTCCTCCACAGCTCCATTTAACCCCCATCCAAAAAGGGCAAGGATATTTGCATCGTAAGTAACCAGTGCAGAATCCCCTTTAGACTAATTTACTGCTTTAATATTATCAGATTAAGCCCTGACATACCTTGAAGGTACCATTTGGACAGCTGAAGCCCTGTTGACTTGCACTTGGACTCTGCTCTGTGTGTGTGTTCCTTGGGATGGTTCAGTTGAAGCACATTTTGAAATGTGCTCCGTTCAAGGCTTGCCGTGACATGCTGGGACTTGTCACATCTTCGGGGTCAGCAGGGCCACCTCATCTTCAAACAGGAGTTGTGAAAAGCTTGTGTCTGAGCAGATGAGATGCAGGTTTGTTAAGCTGATGAGACAGCCAGCAGATGGACCAGGGCTCTTTCCAACGATGCCATTCAGGTGTCGTGTACAGCAGTCAGAGGTGCTGTCTGTGCCGCAGGGAATTGTGAACAACACGGAACTTTCTGTAGCTGTAATATTGCTGCAGGGCCCAGAGCTGCAACGTGTGCCCTGCTGGAGGAACACCTTCCCCTCTGCTGGGGTTTCTAATTCATGTTACTTTGGCCTGAGCTGAACAGGAGCACGGAACACAACAGGGAAAAGCTGATGGTCAGTTTGTACTTCAGCATCTTCCTTCTACTCCGACTACTGTTAACAGCAGTGGGAAAATTTGTGCCCAGAAAAGCTCAAATGAAGACCCAGGCTGAGCTTTACTGTGGAATGTGCCAAGGAGACATTTTCCCGCTGTTCTGTTGCAGATGTTGCTGTCCCTGCTGTCTGGGGAGTCAGCAAGGCCTGAGGAGTGTTGGGATGTGCCTCCAAACAGCTGGGTCGGTTCAGTTCCAGGCCTGGGTGTCTGGGGGAGGATGCTGTGCAGTCACTTTTCTGCTAAACCACCTCACAGCAATTACCAGACTTCCAGAGGAGGGAAAGGTCTGAGAAAAAGACTCGTTTAACATGTCATTGTTGGTCTTCAGCAGCTGTGTGTTATCCTATTGTTACTAATAACCTTTGTAACTTTGTGAGCAATGTTTTCTTGGCATCATTCACACATAATGACTGGGGGGTCAAATTCAGCTCTCAGTTGTGTAAATATGGAATGTTCTCTTGGCTGTCTGGTGCTATTTTGCATTTGGCTCATGGTTCCTGCCCCTAGAATCCTGCAATCCAAAATACCCAGGCAGGGAGCTCAGTCACAGGATGCTCTGCATACCAACTGGGTATGCAAAGCACAAAATAAACAGATGAAGAACTACCATCAAATCCAAGCCATATCATTATGTCTCTGTTGCCCTCTGGTTTTGGTTAATGGATTTTTCCTGAATAAAGGAGAGCAGGAGTTTGCTTGGTACTTTTCCTGTGTAATTCACCAGTAGATTATGGTTGTGAAGTCTTCCAGAAAAAAATATGTTTTAAAAGGGGTTTTAAATAAAGAAATAATTTTTTTAATGAAGTTGAGAATAAAGAAATTTGGGATGAATCAGGAATAAGAGTTGACAAAATAGATGTTGCTTGAAGTAAAGCAGTTGGAAAGTCTGCCTTAATCATAAGAAGAAAGGGAGACCTTGGCAAATCTATGAGGAGGGCGTTGGAACTGCTGTTTTCCTTTCAACCCTCCAATATCCAACGCTCTAAGACATAAGGTTCAGTGGGTTTATATGGTAAATAAATTTATCTTGATTTCTTTCTCTGATAAGAGGATCTCTCTTTTCTAGTATGGCCTGTACAAAGTTCTCAGCAGTGCAGTGACTTATTGCTCTTCTCATTTTCAGGGATCTTCCAGATAACCCTGCTGTTGAATGGGACACACATCTCCTCGCCACCATCGTGCTGAAGCACATAGAGGCCAAGAACATCAACCTGGTAACGTGAACCTTCCTCCAGCACAGGCCATGTCCCTTTTGAGCTGCTGTTCTGGGCTTTTCCCTTCCCTCTGGAAGCTTTCTCTGGAGTCTTTAAGTTCAGGATGTGTCTTTTCTCTCTGGAGATCTTTGCTTGCTTCCCAATGAGAAATGAACAGTAGAGGACTTTTGCTTTTCTAGCTCCTCAAGTGGTTTCTGTGTTTTAAAGTAACCTTGTTGTCCCTTTTGCTGGGTTTAAGTGATGAAAGGAGCCCATCTGGGGTTAAGGCTGATGTTTAGGCTTAGATTTGAAGCCCACTGGCAGGAGTGTGTTAAGAGTTCCATTAGCAGGGTTATAGGTCAGGACTGAAGAATATTAAACTGGGGAGATTTCCTAGAACTGGTATAAGTTTGGGGTTTTTTTTCCTACAGAACAGGACCAAACATGGAAAAGGTTGTGTTCTGTTCTTCTGTTCTTCTCTGTTGAACCTGGCTTTGATCAGGCATGGCACTGACACACTGATTAGCAGCAAAATCACAAAACTCTTAAAGCCTTTCAGCACTTCACAAAACAAGAAACCACATCTCCTGAAGCATGAAAGCCCCAGTGAGCACAAAACCCAGCACCATGAACCCACTCTGTATTAACTCTGAGGCTAATTTTCCATGAAATTCACTGCTGTGCACAGAGGCAAATGCAGTTTTCCTGGACTCCTTTGGTGCCTTTTGGCCCCGTGAATAGATAGGTTTTAATCGAATCTGAAAGCTCCTAACACAGGAGGGTTTGTGTTGCATGTTTGTGACTCTCAGGAGCGCTAAGACAAGTGCACCAGAATCCCAGTAGAAATTGGGAAAACACTAGAACTCCTCTGGATGGTTGGGAAGGATTAGATCTTTGCCTCAGGGAAAATTAAACTCCAGCTGTTTGTGCTGGGGGAGGCAGCAGTTTGCCACTAACAGAGCGTGAGCTGAACACTCCAGTGTGGGGTTTGCAAAGCAAACACGAAACATTCCCGGTCGTGGGGCTGTCCCTGCTGTGCTGCAGCTCCAGCTGGAGGAAGGAGGAGGATGGGAGCTGATTCCCTCAGCTCTTCCCTGAGCAGCACTGAGGATAAATTACTGCAGCAGGACATCAGCAGTACCAAAGGCAGCTGAAGGTGATGGAACATAGATTATTTCAAGTGTCCCAAGTAATCACAAAGGTCTCAGATGTTTGCTGCAATACCATTCATTTAGGAGAAGGCCTAGTTTGCCACCAACAGCAAGAAAAGCACCTAATTACCTTTGTTGAACATTCTGCAATTTCAGAACTTCAGAGCTTGCTATCTGTGAGCTCCTCTTAGAGCATCTGCTGTCCTAAAACAACAGCCTTGCCTCGAAAGGTAAACTGAGCCCATTTTTCTCTGATGCTGAAATTGATAAAATTGGCTAAACATGTTAAAAGAGCTTTGTCAAAACATAAACTAGCAGGGTTTTAAGAACAACAGACCAACTCAGTGAAATCAACATGACTGAAAGAGGTGTGTTGTTGTAGCTATCCCAGTGGGAAAACTTCCCCCAGTTCTCCCAGTAGTCATAACATCAACAGTAGTATCTTTATTTACAGAATATTTGGGTCACCAATATGTGGCAGTGGAGAAGGGGCTGCACTTCCAGCATATCTGAAAGGAAGGATTGCAAGGCAAGGAGTCCCTCCTTGGGGGGGTACTTTTGTTCCATTGCATAGTTAATTTGCTCAATTGCCCTGGAAGTCCATGAGTAGCTCAATCCTTTTGAGAGCTACAGGTACATATTTCATCCAAGCTCTGCATTAAATAGTGCACACACAGCAATTAACAGTTGGTGCACTCAAAGCCAAAACTAATTTATAGACTTTGGAAATTATTTCCTGCCTGTTGGATTTACAAGCAAAACTCAGGGTTGCAGGGAGAGGCAGCCAAGGCTACGCTGTCTCGATCCAGATTAGACAGTATTTGGTGTGTAAAAAATGTTACATAGTATTGTGTGAGCCCCAGGCAGGCCCTGTTGCTCCTAAATCAGATACAAGAGGCATTTCCAAACACTCAAGAGGTTTAAAGGCAGTTCGAACATCACTGGCCTCTGTGGCTGTAAGGGCCCATGGAATGATGCTCAGAGGAAGGCCGTGAGAAATGGAATTGCTTACTATGGCATTTTAGGGGATGGCCCTTCTTAAAAAGGAAAGAGACCTTTCTCCCCCCCCCCAGCAGATGTTTGCTCTGTTGGAGGCACTGTGTGACACCAGGAAGAGGAGGGAGACCCACACAGCTTTGAGTGCTTTTTTCCTCCCATGCACATGGTGTGAGGAGGGATCACGGACTCCAGACCTCTCAGGAGTCTTTTCTCTTCTGCTGGTAATTGAGTAATTTCCTCTGTGCTCTCCCCTCTCCGGAAGGGATTTCTGGACCTGTTTGTCTTGGCTGCTGCTCTGGCTTCCACTAGTGAAAGCTCCATTTCCTGAATACCAAGGTCACCCAGAAGAAAAACCAGCAACACCAACGGCAGCAGCTCCCATTTCAGAACAGGTGTGGGGAGGGAACTCCCTCTTGCCCTAAAGATTTCATTGAGCAACAATTTCCACATGAAGTATATTTATTATCCCAGAACTGGCTAAGCCTGTTTTTAACCCAGACAGTTTCAAGATGTTCAGGTTTTCTCCTCCTGTCCTGATTGTTTGCTTGATTTCCTCATCAGCCTGGTTCAGGTTAGGAGTTAAAGCCAGCACAGCACTGAGCTGCACCGCGTGGAAGGAGCAAATGCTCCCGTGTGAAAATATCTGCAGCATGTGAGAAAGAAATTCAGATCCATTATCAACAAAATGAATCCCTGAAACCAGAGGAATATATTTACATGTGGTTGCTGCCTGCTTGAAGGCACGAGCAGCTCAGTGGTGCTGTGGAAACAGTGCCCTGTAGAGACAACACACTTAGAAGCTGCACTCTGGGCTGGGGGGACATCTCTGCTGTGTGCTGAGAGGGCTCTCTGAAGGGAAGAACCAGGATTTATCAAAGGTGTTCCCTTTGCAGACAAAGCAAATGCCACCGTGGCCAGGTCAGTGTGCACATGCCTTGGGAATTGTATTTACAAATTTATTTATTCAAAGAGATAAGGTGCAAATGTCCCAACAGCAAACTGGACAACGGCAACGGAAAATGAACTCGGTGCAATCTCTTCAGATAGTTCAGATGTTATGTAAGCTCAGCAGCACTAAGAACAGCAGCTTCTATTTCAAAACAGATGTGGAGAAGAAAAACCTCCAAAGATGTTTCTGAACAGACAATTTCTATGTCAAGAATATTTCCTAGCCCAGCCTTGTGCTCCACAGTTGGCCTGAGCCAGTTTTGTCAAAACAACGATTAGTTTATTTAATCTGTTCACTGTAGTCTCTTATCTTGGTCTTCTGGTTTGTTCCCTTGTGCCCTCCACAGAAGGAAAAAATGTGTGTTTTGGCTTGCCTGGGTTTTTAGCTTGGTTTCCTAAAGAAACAGGGATAATGCAATGGTATTTATACATGTGTGCACATGCAAGTTTCAAAAGACTTCAGAGCCCGTTGGCCAATTCCAACTGCAGGGTACTGGTCTTAAAAATGTTCTGCTTGTACAGGTTATGTGAAAATCAGTGACCAGGCAGAAGAGACAAACCCTTTCTCTGTCCTTATGTAGTGAAAAGGTTTAGTGCAAGTCCAGCTCTTATCAGACTCACACTGTCATTCACCTGAACAGAAATTTATTCTGCCTGCAGTTAGTGGGGGACGTTGTCATCTTAGGAAAGTGCCACTCTAGGTAGGAGTGACTTCAGAGCACGTTTTTTCTTATCTGCAAAATACAGGGTGCTATTCTCATTCCCTGAGCTGAATCCATTAATGTCTTTCCCAGATGAGCTGCTCCAGAAGCTGCCTTTCCACAGGGAGAGCCCAGCACCAGGGCAGGCCCTGCAGAGTTCCTGGGTAATGCTGGTGTACAGCAGCCAAAGCTGAATGACATCTTGTTTTTCTTTATAAAATAAGGGTTGGCCAGAAAATGCTTCTTTGTACCTGAATGAAACCAAATTGAGTCCCACCAGTTCCTGCCAGCCAAGAGCAGCCTTGGCTGCTTGGTGGCAGCACCTTTAGAGCCACTGGGCAGAGTGGAAAGTCTGACTGTGGACTTGTTGTGGGTGGACGGGTTTAAAGCAGGCTTGCCTGAAGTTTGTGGGTTTTGAAGTATTTCTGGTCACTGTCTTTGTGCTTCCTCTCCCTCTTTGCACCATGTCCCGTGTGGGGAGGGTGGAGGAACAAGTTGCAGGACGGGCGCGGTGACTTTTGGCCTTCCCTTGATCTCTAACCCAGTGCCCCAGGCCCTGCCTATGAAATAGATTGTGAGAAGGGAGCTGTGCTGAGAGAGCCAGGCAGTGCCATTTCCTTCCCTGAACAGAGAACAAGCTGGCAAGGGAGCAGACATGGGTTGAAATGTGGGGAGTTCATGATTTCTCCCTGGTCCCAGAGAAGGGAGCTGTGGAGGGCTCTGCTGCCGGGCCTGTCCCAGAGCGGGGACTGAACTTTGGGCTGGCCAGGGACTGGCACTTTCACCACCTGGAAGGAGAACCAGCACACATTACACATTCCCTGCCTGCTCTGCACTCTGTGCTGCCTGTTTGGCTGCTAGGCTGGAAGTGGGAGGCTTTAAATACCCACTGCCCAGCACCACAGAGTGAGTGAGCCCTTAGGGGGGTGCTTCACCCCTGACACATCATTGGCTGGCTGAGGGCAGGGAGCCAGGGGTGTTCTGTGCTCTGGACAGTGGTTAGTGCTGTGTTCACACATTACTTCTGCACTATGAAGTTCCCATTTGTGCAAAAGTGCAGTCAGCTGATTCTTTATAAAGTCTTATTCTCATATCAGATTATTTTATCACTGTGTTGTCCTCTGGTGAAGCCTCTTTACAACCAGGACAGTCGTACATGATTGTGGGGCTCTTCTTACAGCAGTGTGTCCAGACCCACAGCACAGCAAACTGTAGTTTCACCCTGTCATTCTAGGATGTTCTCAGATCCAGGGGAGACTGATTCATAGAGCTGGACCTCTTGGGTCAGGAACATGTTTGCAACAAATCATTTTGAAAGTGACCTTTTGGCCTGGTAATAAGTAACAAGTGCATCCTGCCAGTGGGAACATGATCTTTGTCATCTTTCTGTTGTTCAAGCTGTTAGACTGTGTAGTCATCCAGTTCCAGAGTGGCTTGTTTGTTTAGTTGTATTTCTGTGGCACGATGAGTTCACACACAAGGCCTCTTTGTGCAACACAAAAACAACTCGTTAGTTACAATGGGCTGGGGCAGTGCCGTGTTAGATGTCAGAGCTGGCAACTGCAGTCTCCTCCTCCTCCTGAATGGTTCCTGTTCTGTGGTTTCTTGCAGGTGGTGACCTTTGATGCGGGAGGAGTGAGTGGCCACGCAAACCACATCTCTCTTTACTCTGCTGTCAGGTACAGTGTGCTCTCACTGCAGCCTCACCTGGGAGTTGCTTGTGTGTGAGCAGAACCAAAACCAGTGCTTACTTCACTGCTGTAACTGAGTGCCAGGCTGTGGGGCACAGGCTGTTTGGAGAAACTGCCACAGCTCTGTAAATAACCAAAGCATCTCTTAGTATTCCATCAGCTGGTACTTTGCCAGGCTCCTTTTCACTGGGCCCTCTTTGCTCTTCCTGTCCTTGATCCCACTGAAATATGCCACAGGTCACTTTGCACTTCTGGTTTGAGGAGGGTGTGTGAATAGCTGGTGCCTGAGCTGGTGGTAGTTGGGTTTTGGAAAGTTCTGTTCCAGGGGATTTGGCCATCCTGTCCAGGTCCCTGAATTTACCTCTCTGACCCAAGGATGTTGCTCTTTCACTGGAGCTGTCCTTGTTTACCACTCTTAGGAAGAGTCAATTAGTTCCTTCACCATTTTATTCCTTACATGATGGGACCCTCTGTCCCTGTGCTGTGGGAAGGTCACTAGACAGAAGTCCCTGTATTAAAATCACCCAAATTTTGCTGGCAAGACAGCTCCTGTATTTTACTTTAATCTTCTGCTCATTCAGACCTCACTGTGTCCTAGAGAGGTCTCCAGAGTTTCTCATGCCTTTGCCAGGCATGAGAAGAACTCTTCACAAGTATAGCTTATATTTATAGCACCCATTTGTTTTCTAAATCATCTGTGCCATTCAAATAACTCTTCTGGCTCTCCTTGCTGACAGCATCACAGGGATTTGCCTTTCTCACTTGCCTAGAAAAAGCTGCAGTGCCACAGAACCTGTACTGGGACCTACTGAGCTCCTCTGGGAAGATGCTGAAAGCCTTTGATGCTGGAACTCAGCATTAGAGGGGATCATGGCTGTTCCCAGCAACTTCTGAAATAGCCTGGAAGAAGGAGAGGGGGTGGAGTTAAAGCAAGCTGTGTTTGTTTGGGCTGAGTGGGAAGATGCTTTCTGGCACAGCTAATTGAGGAGTGAGTGAGGAGCAGAGGTTGATGACCCAGGAGCAGAGGCTGATGCTCACACCATTGGCACAGAGGGACTGAAGAGCTCCCAGCTGCCTGGGCCTCTGTTTGCTCAGTCGATTGCTGTACAATCTGCAAATAGGAATGGAGGGCGGGTTGTTGTTTGTGTGACCCTCTACATCCTGAAGAGATCATGGGAAAACAAGCTGGCAGCCGAGTTATGTAGGAGAAAGTTACAGAAAACTCTTGATTTTGATCTTGTCCTTTACTTTGTGGTTGTGCAGAAATTGCTTTCCTACCTTTGTGCTTTAGGTTTCCTGTGGGTGTGGGAGGGATTTAACCCCCTTCTCATCTCAGATCATGTTACTGGAAATATTTATTGTCTGCAAGCCCCTTGAACTCAGACCTTTGCATTAGTCCTGCTGCAGCAGTCCTGGGCTGCTGAGATCCGTGCTGACAGGGACACCAGAGCACGAGCACTTCTCATTAACTAAGGGCTGCTTTGTGTCTTGTCTCTCTTCCAGTCCTGAATCAGCAGAAATAACCATGGTAGCCCTGTCATCTGCGTGTGGCAGGAGCGATGCTGTGGCCACTGAAAGGTTAAGTTTATTTTTAGTGGCTTGTTTGCCCTCATTATTTTTCAGTTTGTGTTATGGAGGAAGTAGAGCGTGACTGTATCACTCCTGACTCTGTGCCCTGATGAGGTCTCACATGTTGGCCAGTGCAGGCAGCACTGGGAGCACAAGCTGAGCCTTCTCCTGTCCCCCTGTGCCAGCAGAGCTCTGCAGAGCCCCGAGGGCCCCAGTGCTGCTTGGCAAGAGCAAGGCAAATGAACTCTCCCCTCCAGGTATCGAGTGCAGTGTGTTCATTAACCATCTCTAAACAAGGTGTGCAAGGTTCTGCCTCCGCTGTGGCTCTGAGTGGAAAGGGTGAAGCAGAGGGCTGGTGCAGTGATCCTTGGCTCTTTTGGATTCTCCCAGTCTCTGGGAGATAGACTCATGCCCACCACCCACGGGATGATTTCTGTAAGAGCAGAGGTAGAACAGGCTGTGTGACCCCTCCCACAGCTCCTCGCTTCAGGAGGTGCAAGTTATTCAACAGCTTCAAGCAATGAAACAGTTCAGGCAATGGTCATAGCTGAGCAGATGCTCAGCATTGTCTGCTAAGGGCATAAATATTCTTTCCAGTGTCTGGAGCAGAGGTTATGTTCAAAGGAGCAGGAACTATTCAGAAGAAATGAGCCCTTTCCCTTGCAGCAGCCTCTGTCCTGACAGCTTGCAGGAGTCCAGCTGCTGTGTGTGCCTGCCTAGCCTTGAGATCTGGGAGGAGCTGGGAAATGCCAAGGTTCGAGGGTGGATTTGTTCTTCTGCAAGGGAAAAATAAGAAAAAACAGGATGGGAGAGGAACACAAATTGCTATTTGATTTCAGTCTCCCCTGGGAGTATTTCAGTTCTGGCTTCCAAACAGAAAGAAAGACCCAACCCAAACCCAAGAAAAACCCACAGTAGCAAAGCAGGGGGAATTGGAAGCAATCCTCTGTCTCTCTGCTTCTTTCTCTGTCACCTTGATTTGGCAACATCATTCTCTCTTTTTCCCCAAAATAGAAGCTCTCCCTGTGGCCAAGAGAGGCTGGATCCTTTACACTCATCCAGAAGGAAGAGCAGGGTTTGAGTGACATCCAGGTCACTTTACTGCTCCCTCAGTGTCTGGCCAGTCTCTGGGCACTGTGGTAATAACCTTGGTAAATATTATGTGACAGGAATATTGGAGAACCTCTCCTTTCCTGCACTTTGAAATGACACTGTTTGTACTGAGATCACATGTAATGCCAAGGGGCTTTGGTTTTGCATGAGTCACTGTGCATTTTGATTTTAAACAACCCCTCTTACCCAGGAGCCTGGCAAATGGGGGGCTGTTGGGTTTGTTGTTTGCTTGACTGCTTAGGATGGAGAGGAATCATCCTTGGGAGGAGGAGGAGGAGGAAGGACTGTACCACTTGTTTTCTTCAGTGAGCTATCAAATCCGTTTCATCCCAGCTAGAACAGGAAAAAAAATAGTCTTGTCTGCTTAGGGCAGAGCAAACTGAGTGGAAAATAGGAGCTGCTATATTTAACTACTGTGCATTATGTTGTTATAGCAACTGCATCCATAAAACTTCTATCAATGATGCCATATAAAAAGCTACATCAAGGAATCATTAGCTGAGCCTATTCTCGTCAATTCCGTTTGGAAAAACACCTCTTAGTCCTGCAGGATGTTTTTTTAACATTCACCAACTCAGTGGTAGGCTGTAAAAGAGGCTGTGCAGAGGTAATATTTGGGAGCTTAGTGCTTTATCACTCTGCAGCTGATTATGATGCAGCCTGAGTGCCACCGATGCCTTGTTGCACTGACACGTCACAGCCTGGCTGTTGAATGCCCCACTGCATGGCATGGGCATTGTGCAGAAGGGCTGCACTGAGGTTCCCTGAAAGAGGAGGGTTGGTTAAATGCCAGTTTTTGATCCGTATGTTGAAACAATGAACTGTCCGGGCAGTCCCACAGACTCGGTGGGTACTGTTCTCAAAAGCCACCAAGTGCATCAGGTCCCAACAAAGCAGAGTTCTGCTTGTGTGGAGTTTCCAAGGCCAGGTCTGAAAGGGTGTGTTGAGCAGGGAGGAAGATGGGTTTTGGGTGCTTAGCTTGATAATAGTGAATGACATCCCATTTACCATTTTGTTTGATGCCTTCTTACACTGCAGGGCTGGAGTGGGACTCTGATCTCTCCCTCCTTTCAGCAGCTGCAGCCCAGCATTCTCTTGATCTTAAATGTCCCTGGGGATCTCAGGAGTGGTGGCTGTGGTTGCACCCAGACTGCCCCCATAAGGTCGAAATAGAATTGTCCTCTGCTGTTTATCCTTGGAGACTCCCTCAGAGCATTCTGCCCTATGCCTGGTAATATCCCATAGGCTGGGAATGTTATCCTAGATTTTGTCTCATTCCTTCATTTACTCCCTCATTCCTAAGTTCGTTCATCCCAGCCCCCTTCCTGACACTGTTGAGAGCCATTAGGATTGAAGTTGAGCACAGGGCACCCCCAAAGTAGTTTTCTATTCCAGAGAAACAGCCTCAGGGGATGTCCTTCCAGCATCGTTAGGCAGTGAGTGGAGCAGTGACACTGCACATTCTTCTCCCAGACAGTGCAGGGCCCAAAGCACAGAGCCAGGGAACAGCTCTGTCAGCTGGAAGATCTCGGAATTGCCACTGGCAGAACCATCTTTTGCCACTGGTACACGTGAGTGCAGAGACCTTGGGCAGTGCTTTACAAAGTGCAAATTGCTACATGGTGTAGTTCAGGGTGCGTGGAAATAGAGCCAGAAAGTCCAGTTAGGGAGAGAGGAGGCATTCCAGATAGCAAACATTCAACATCTGGCAAGTATATCCTTCTAATGTCTCTGTGACTCCGAGGAGACTGGCTGTTCTTCCTCCTTCACATCTGTTCCATCAGATTAATCAGGCAGATTAGAGGCTGGGATTCTAGATGGAGCCCCAGCACAGCTTTAAGACATCCATTCTTTCCATGCTCTCCAGAATTGTATTTCCCCAGTGCTCCACAGCAGCCAGCACAGTCAGTTCAGTGAAGGGTTTTGCCTTTGGCACAGGAGAGTGTTTGGAGAGTGAAGTCATTGAATTCAGTGAACAACTTCTCATCAAATAGAACATGGCCAAAACCATAACACACCCACCAGGGGATCAGCCCCAAAGTTCTGTGTTCCTCAGAGGAGCTCTGTGTTCCCCAAGACCAAGTTTTCTGCCCTATCTTGACTTCCTTCTTACCATCAAAGGGAGGTTTCACTGATTGGTGCCACACAGGAGCTGATCCACTCGCTTTGCTCACATCTTTCCTTGAGGATGGCTGAATAAAGGCAGGGAATTTGGGAGGAGCTCAGTCCTGAATTTGTAGGGTCAGGGCTGTTGGGCCATTGCAGTGTTTCTGCTGAGATGCAGCTGATGGCTGCAGACAGCAACAGCCTTCAGAGCAGCTGGTCCTGGAGGGAGGAGTTGGGGCTGAGTTTTGCAGTGCAGAAATGGTTGGAGCCTTCAGATGTCTCATGGCCTTTTGAAATTCTTCACTGCAGAGGGTCTCACATGTGGATCTGAACCTACCACAGGCACAACGGAGAGGGTGCAGTGAGAGGTGCCCTGTAATCACCAGCCTCTGGCACTTGGTGGGTGGGTGGGTGGGAACAAGCCACCTTAGGTCACTTCATGTTTAAAAAGAATGGTAAAAAGTGTCTCTGGGGGAAAAACACCCACATGGAAAAAGCTCCTGAAAAAGAACGTGTTTGTGTTTGACTTCTTGGGATTTTATGCCAAACTCTTTCATTTTGCCCAAACCACAGCAAGTCCAATCTGTAAAACAACATTCCCAAAATGGCAACGACTGAGAGCTGCAACCTCTCCCCTACTTGGAAGTGTCCCCTGGAGACACTCCAGCAGGGTGGAGATGGGAGCGAGAAGATGGATTTGGGAGAGGATTGGCTCGTTTTGTGAACGTGTGCAGGAGGTAGAGTTTTGTGTTTCTCTCTCTCTCTCTGTAACCACAGAGTATCTCTTGCCTGAGAAATACAAATGAGCAAGGCTGCAATTCCTGTGCACATGGAGCTGGGTGGAGCCCATTCCCAGAGCTCTGCTCTGAGCCTTGCTGAGTCCTGAAGCGTTTGGATCAGGACAAAAAGGATGAGCAGAGGAGCAGTTTCTTCATGCCTGTTCTTCCAGATGAGTGACAGGTCTGGTGGCAGCAGCTTTGAGGACCTTTCAGGAACCAAAATACAGTTTGTGTCTCCTTGAACCCTTATACAGCACAAACTCCTCAATCTGCTGCTGAATGCAGCTTCCCTTCCCTGCTGAAGACGCTGCCTGCTCCTGCTGAAACGTTTCCATATGAACTGCATCTCTGGCTCCTGTTTCTGGTGGCAGGAATGGTTATTATTAGTTCCCTCTGGGAGCAGCTCAGTAAGTGCTTTGAAGGTGCCTGCATGGCAGAGCAGCACACCCAGAACAGACACTGGGCCTTCAGATAGTTTGCCAAATTTCACAAGCACTCACTGCTTTATCTCTCCAAGCTTGTCCTATAAAGTTCCCACCCTGCTTGCTGTACCAAGTGCTGAATCACTTCTTTGGGTGGCCACATTCTACTTGTGGGGGAAGAAACCTCTGGCAGAAGAGCAGAGCAGATATTAATGGCGACACTTAAACCTTCCTCCCCCCCGCTGCCCACAGAAAATTGCTGGTAATGTTTACAAGGCAACATTTAACAATCTTTGTCAGAGCAGTAAGACTTGAGTGGTGGGGTAGAAGGTGGCCAAGTCAGTATTCCAAGGCCATTGTTTAGTAGGAAATGGTATTGCTTGCAGAGCTTTGGCTCTGGAGCAGAGGAGACCATTGGCAGGAGAATCTGTGTAAGGCATATGTTTTCTGATTGCTGTTTGAGTTCTGCCATGACCTGCATTTCTGGCTTGACTTTTGCTTTGAATTGTGTTGGATATTCATTACTCCGTGCTTCCTATTTTGTCTATGCCTGTGTAGTTAATCCTTTTCCTTGAACTTAACCAATAGCCAGAGATAATCCTAGTTTGAAAGTGACTGGAGAAACACAGCAGTTTACATATAATGCATGTTTGATCCTGGTTGATTTACACATGAACTGGCACATTGTCCTTCGTTTAATACACCACTGTAAGGTGATAACAATCTCTTTACATATTACACAGGGTTAAATAACTTTTTTTTTTTTTTTGTATTTCCTTTCTCCTTTTGGCAAATGTTCCGTTGTTTGGAATTTTTTTCCTTGTGGAAGAGCATGCCTGGGACAGCCCTGAGTGCCATCTGCTGGAGACCTGCTGCCTCCCAGCCCTGCCATGGGCCAAATCCGGGGTGGTGCAGTTGGGAATGTCAGCACAATTGCTCCAAAGCCATGAGCCACAGACCAGAGCAGGAGAAACAAGAGGATTAACAAGGAATTGAAGCCAATACCCTCTGATGCTTTCACCATACCAGGATCCTTTGCTTACACTTCTTGATGGAAGTGCCTTCACTGTTCTCATCTCCCACGCTGGTCCCCTCATCCTATTTCCAAGGGAAGCACTTTTGCTCTAGAGACTATCCAGGACAAAGTCATGAAGGGACCAAAGTCTTAGTGAGCAAAAAGCCAGAGCAGCTTCTCAGATGTCCCAGTGCCAGTGTGGGTTAGGAAACAAGAAGCTGGTCCCCAAAGAGGAGCTGCTGAGGAAATGTCCCTGGCCAGCAGACCCTGGGCTTTAAACAGCCAGTGCTCCCAGAGGTGAATAGCCTTTGGCAGCCTCTTGCAGTTTCCCTAAGTGCAACTTGAGAAGTTTGAGAGTGAATTGGATTTATAGAGCTTATTTGTGATGTGTCCCAGCAGGCAGGATGAGGAAAGTAATGGCAGAACAGTGTGGGCAGTGAGGCTTATCCCTGCCTGAGGTGTCATCCAGTGTCAGTTCCTGCAGTTTCTTGTGAGATTGGCCATTGTAAATGTGTGTGTGTGTGAAGAGAAAAGGGTTGGTTTAGTGTACAGAGTTTATAGCTGTAAAATCAGGGTTTGGATAACTCCACTGAGTGCTCACCCACATGTATCTCTTCTCTCACAGGTACCTGCATTCAGAGGGGAAGTTACCTGAAGGTAGGTCACCTCACATCCCTGTCCTTGCAGGCACTGGGCAGTTGTTTACATCAGTGTTCTGTCCAGGGTTCCAGCTGCCCAACTCACCCCTGCAATGCAAATGAACCCCACAGCTCAACTCTTCCTCGCCCTTTTATCTCCGTGCAATTTTTACCCACTCAGGCTTCTCTACAAGCACTTTTCTGTCCTTAGGGATTCTCCATTCTGTGTCTCCTGACACTGTGCTGTGATTCAGTGTCTGGCCTGTGCCTTTTGCTGCCTTGGGTGAATAGGAGTGTTATTTCCAGGTCTCTCAGCTCAGTCACAGAGTTTTTGGTCACGTCTTACCTACAAGCCTTTTTTCTTTTCTGTGACAAAGGCCTCAGAAACCACGACCAGCTTAGCCAAGAATGTTTGCATGTACCAAGTTAAGCTTCCAACAAAACGTGCTCAGGAAAAGTACCTGAAATCTGCAGTGGCACAGCAAGTTATTGTAATGGCTTCTATCATCTACAGATGAGCAAGAATCCCTGAGAAACCCTCTGTACAAGCAGGGAAAGGAAAGAAACAAATTACAGAAGCAGGTTGCTCCTGACCCCTCTTCTAGCTGCTGTCCTTATCTCCAGCAAACAGTGCCCGACTCAGGGACAAATGTGAGGAACCAGTTTAGGCACAAAGCTGTCAGTCAGCTCTTTGGACAGAGCATGGGAAGGGGGCTCAGCCAGGCCCACCCAGTCAACCTCCTGTTCCCTCAGCAGCCATCTGGGCTGTGTTCCTTTAATGCTAATTCCCAAATCATTGTAGGATTTGAATGAGTCACAGCAAATCAGTTTTAATTCTCTGCTAGCAGGAAGTTGCAGACCTAATGAGAGAGTGTGAGCCAAGATGGCAGAATGCCCTTTAGCTGAGTTCTGACTCCAGTCTCTTCAGTTCCCCAATTTATGAAAGAGGAGTACAATGCCAACTTCTTTCCTGGGACCTTTTCTTTGTTCAGCTTTGGGATGCAGCAGAGCTCTGTGTGCAGTACAAAGGACAAGGATCTGCAGTGGTTGATGTCACTGCTGGCTGTCAGGCCCCATCTATACTGAGCCACTTCCATGTGCTGTTCATGCAGGTCTGTTAGATTCACTACGGTCCTCAGTATGGGCTGAGCCTCAAATTCATTCAGGTTTGAAACAGAACCCATGTATAGAGAACATTTCCATTTCTCCAGCAGCATCAAGAGACTCCTGGAGCTGTGTGAAAGCCTTGCTGCTCTGATTACATCACATCTGACATGACCTACAAACACCAAAGGAACGGGGAGCTCCCATGCTGCTGCTTACGCTAAGCCTTTCCAAATATAGTCCCAGTCTCATTGAAATTCCCAGTATTTATAATTTGATCTGGCAGGCGTGCAGGGCTGTGCATCAGAGGGGCTTAATGAAACAAGAGTGATGCTGGGATTGAGGCTGTCTGGATAGAGCTGAAAGGCATGTTCAGGCCATGGAAATTTGCTGCTCTGCTGTTGGTAAGAGGGAACTGTGTGTAGGTGAACCTGTGTAAGCCCATGTGATCAGGGAAGCCACAGAAAATCTCGCTGCAAATGCAAAAGCCAGCTAAGCCTTGCATTGCCTCAGTGATATGCAAATGAGCACCCTAAATATCCTGCTTTGCTTTCTAATGCCTTTAGCCAGCATAAACACAACAGGCTTTTTATAATCTGTAATCAAGTTCTCCAGCCTGGGCACAAGGACTTGGGCTTGTCTCAGGAAGCCAAGACAGCTGCTGGATATGGTTCCACCCCTGCCACTGGCCCCTTCCAGCTATACCCAGTGCTCTTCCACAAGAACTGCTGTGCTTCCATCCCTCAGGAGCGGGGCAGGCCTGCAGCACACCCAGAGCTGCCCAGGAGCTCCTCCTTCTAGGCAGACCTGCTGCCTCAGTGCTTTGGAGGTAGAAAGCCAAGCCGAGCAGGCTGCAGGCTTCCCACACTTCTATTCTAGGCCTAATCCAGGAGCTATATTGATCCTGCCCTTTCTGCCAACCTAGAGAGGTTGTATTACACTGCTAATCCCATCCTGCCCAGGTCACAACAGGCTCTGAAAAGCTTCACCTGCTGGTGTCACAGGAGTGGACTCCTCAATGGCAGCACTGCTCTCACCCTGCTTGGCAGGGAGCAGCCTGTTTCTCTGAACCCTTTTTCATCTCTCCCTGGACTGTACATTCCTTCCCTGCTTCATTTCATCTCACATTCCCATGCAGAACAGGCCTTGCTGTCAGCACATGGAGATCCTTGTGATATCACTGACACAGAAGGCTCTTGGAGTGCCCTTTTTTTTGGGAGGCTGAATGCCACCACTTTGCCTGATCTGACCGAGGAGGGCACAGCAGGTCAGACCGAGCCCTACTGAAATCATTTGCAGTGGTTTTCGTCCCCTATTGCTGAGCTTTGGGGAACAAAAGGGTGTAATTGCTGCGTGAATTAATATTTCTTAGGGGGAAAAAAATGAGGAAAGGGAGAGCACGTTTTGTTAACAGAGCAGTCCAGGCTTCAGAGGGCAGTGGTGGGTAACCCTGTGTCAGGCCTCTCTTCCCACCACTGCAAGTAGGAGTTCACATGGCATTGCCAGAGTCCATTAACAACCATCCAGGAAAGGAAAGATCCATTGCCCTGTGTTTGCTCAAGCCTTGTCCTCCCTTGTTTGAAAAGCAAACAGGCAGCCAGTGGGAATGCTGGGGACAAGAGCAAGAGGATCCATATCTATTCCTTTCCCCTGCCACAGTGCAACATTAATTCTTTTCTCTCAAACTACCCACGGCAGCAGCCCAGGGGGTCTCTGCAGAGAAGGGGGAAGAGGAGTTCCCCCACTCGTGGCACATCAGAAGGTTCCTTCCAAGTTTGGAAACAAGAAATTCTGTAGTGGGAGTAGAAGAACTGTCAGGGCACTTCAGTTTGTGAGCAAGTGCAGCGCTTGTCCCTGCAGAGCATCCTTTGCAGTAGCAGCTGAGACCGATGGCAGCCAAACAGCAACTGCTCTGCTGTCACTTGTCCAGTGGGCCGGGAGCGGGCCGGGGGCTCAGGCTCGCGGTCAGGAAGTGGCACAAGCCACCCGTGCTGGTCCCACAGCTCCCTGCATTCCCGCACGTCCAGGGGACTCTGCGGGGAGCTTGGCAGAGCCGCCGCTGCTCGCAGATGGCATCGCACAGCTGCTGCTCTCAGGAGCGCCCTGACCTTGCAGGACTGGGGGCTGAGGCTGCGGGAGGACGGGGGTGGGGACACGGCACTGGCACGGCTAAGACAGGAGGGTGTTGGAGGCAGAGGGTGCCAGGAGGGCTCTGAGCCGGGCGGGCCGGGCAGCGCTGCGGGTCCCCTCCCGCGGCCGGCGGACACCGCCATCTCCCGGCGGCTCCCTGAGCAACGCCCGCACTTCAGGAGGGCTTTTCCTCCGGGTCCTGGCACAGCACAGACTCCTGTCAGCTTTTATCTGGATAGAAATGCCAGTGATTTCCCTTGAGGTCTCTACCCCTGCCCATCGCTGGGAGAAAAGAGCTCCTGTGAGTGCTGTGTCCGTCCTGCTGGGGAGTCACGTCCCAGGATCAGTGGAAGGGGAGCATGGCCCTGTGGAGCCCTCTGAGATGCTGAAATAAGGAGTTACCAGTTTTGCTTTGGGGAGTGGAAAAGGCTATTGAAAAGTTGGAACAAGTTGTACATCCTTCTCTTGAAGGAGAGAAAGGAGAGAAAGGAAAGAAAGGAATTGAAAGATCCCAGAGATGTGCTGGAGGGAGTCCATGGGGGCTGCCATGTCCTGCCCTTGCAGGCTTTGACTAGAATAAAAGCAAGCCCTTTCTTTGCAGTGAAATGAGTCAGAATTACTGGGAAGAGGCTGGAACAAATCAGTTATGAGGGGATTTGTCAGGATGGTCCCGTGTGTGCTGTTTGTCCCTGGGTTCAGTGTGTCACAGCCCCCTGGCTGGTGCTGGTGGGGCATCTTGGAGTGCCAGACTCAAACCTGGAAACGTGTGGGAGCTTCCCCTGTGTCTCCAGGAAATTGTAGAGCAACAGGTTTTCCCCTCCTATCTCGGGCTTGGTAGAGGCTAAACTGAGGGGTCTACCAAATGTCCAAAGTAGGGAAAAGATCTTTGTTCCTGCTCCCATCCAGGAGAATCTTATCCCTTAGGGGAACACCAGTCCTGCTGACATTTTAAGGCTGAAAGGCATTTGAGCACCACCAGCTTAAGCAGTTATTAGACTTGAGCACAGACTTCACACACTGAAATGGTGCCTCAGGAGCCTCTGCAGCAGCTCAGCCTTGTCCAGTGTCTCCTTTGTGTAATCTCACTGTTTCAAGGCACTCTGAAGAAAATCCAGTTATGAATTGAGTTGTGTCTCTGACCACCTGTGTAAACTGTTACTTTGGCCTGTTCTGTCAAACTTTAATACAATGTGTGAAGTGTGGAGCATAATCACAGCAGCTTCCAAGCCCCAGGAAATCCCAAAGCAGCTCCTTTGAGAGCTACAGGCTCTAAAAGGGACCATCAGTAGCTCTGAGCTCATCAGTGAAGACAATTTAGCCATAGGAAAAAGAATAGCAATTAACTTCTGAGTTCAAGGGGATCTTTAAAAAAGAAAAAAAAAAAGCTTCCAGACCAGGAGAATCTTTATACATCTTACCTTCCTCTGCTTCATCACAAACATCTGAGCAATGTATTCTGGAACTCTGTTAAAATGTAACTGCCTGCCTGAGTTAATATTTGATACTGCCATTCCTGAGACATGTAAATATTTATTCTGTAGCTAAGAATTGGAGTAGAAAGGTGAAATTTCATTTTGGTAGCTGAACAGAGACGGCTGTTTTAAATTTCTATTCTGTGATAGAGTGCCTGCATTCAGAGAATCATCATTATGTAGGAATAGTTTTGGGGTAGTCAAAGCTAGTTTTGCTTTCAACAAACTGTAGACTACAAATAGTCATATACTGAATAAGGACTGGTACAAGTGGTCATAAACATGCACTGGGCACCAAGAGGTCCTGGTGGAAGCATCAGGAAAAGTTGCTCCCCTTTTGCACCAGGATCCTGAGACCTGCTGAGCCTGAAGAGAAGGACACCTTACAACACTGTTTTGAAATAATTCCCCTCTTTGTCTGTGCAGGGTGCCGTGTGCTCGTGCTCGAGTCAGTAAATCTCTTGAGGAAGTACATTTCCTTCCTGGATGTGCCCATCTCCTGCCTCCTGCCCAGGGATGCCCTGTTCATCCTCACAGAGGAGGAGACCGAGCAAGCCAAGGTGAGATGTGTGGCACCTGCTTCACCTGCTCGAATGGCTCGTCATCATTGTGAAGACTTTAGTCAGGAGTGTCACATTCACGGGGAATTTCGTAAGTGGGTTATAAATGTCACTAAGGAATGTCTGCAGGGATTTGTAAAACATGAATGGACAAGACAGGTTACCTCATGTGCTGTGTGACAGGATGGGGCTGAGCAGATTTGCAGCTCAGAGCACTGAGTTTTACAGTGCCCAGGATGCAGTATGCATTTCAGAGGAGACTGGATCCAACATAATATTCTGAATATATGAGTGGCCTGTCAAAGACTGGCATGACTCCATACCAGGAGCAGCATCCCTGCATCACAGCTCTAACTAAAGATGGAAACAGCCTGTGAACTTATGGTCCAAAGAGTTCCCTTCTTTACTATGCATTTTTTATTTTGCTGCATGAGATCTCACACATTTAGTCCACACTTCCCTGTATCAGAATCTGATTAGCTCCCCTTCCATAGCATGAAAATGTTTGCCCAGAAAACAGTGCTGTTAATTCACAAATTGCAGAACTTTCCTGCTTTTGAGGCTGCTGAACTGGAGAGTTACACATGGAAACTGCTCGGATAGAGGTGGTGTTCATTATTCCCATGTGTTTTTTGTTTCTGAAACCTGACCTTTCTGGGCTGGTGCACTATAAATATTCGGTTTCAGCTGGCAGTGTGTGGTCGGAAGCAAATGCAGGGACGTTCCCAGATACTCACCTATCAGGTTCCTGCTTCCCCAGCATGTGAACGTTCAGGCATGAGATCACGTGGGGAGGAGGAGTTATAAGTGATAAATACACTGTCTCAGCACCAATCTGCAGCTGATAATGTCCTTTGAACAGGACCCTCTGAACAGCAGGCAGCCCAACACCAGCAACACGGGGGCAGAAAGGCCCCATGGATTAGGCAGCCTCCCCCTGCTCACTGAAAACAGGCTGTCCTATAAATTGGCAGGCCTAGGAAACTGCCCTAGAAAAGGAGGCCTAGGAAACTGCCCTCACATGAGGCCTGGAAGGTTCCTGTAATGCTCTCTCCCCTCTTTTTCCTCCTAGAGGGCCATGCGGTGCCATCGCAGCCAACTGCTCTGGTTCCGTCACCTCTACGTGCTCTTCTCACGGTACATGGTGGTCAATTCTCTGCACCTCCTGTAGCAGGACGTGGCTCACAACTCCAGGAGAGAAGAATGACCAAAACAAAAGGACCATGCCAAGCCCAGGACTAAAAGAAACTCCTGTGTTATGGGCTGGAGAGGATGGGATGCTCTTTGTGCAGCATTCTGCAGGCTACAGAAACCAGGAGTGGGAACTTCCCTCTGAATGTCTTGTTGCCTGATAACTTGAGATGAACAGGGTTTAACAGCTGCTCTGTTTTCTCACTGTAGAAGCTTAACTAGGATGAGAAATTTGGATTAACTTAATTAGGAGTTGAGTACAGGAGTATTCTGCACTGGAGAAGATGTGGCAAAAACTATTTCCCCAAGAAGATACAGCTGCAAGGACTGCTTGGCAACTGTCTCTTGGTGCTTTTGTAAAGTCCAGGTATCAGGAGGAACTTTTCAAAGGACACGCTATCTCCACAGATACCAGATCTACAAAGACATTCCTTATTCAGTCAGAACTTTAAAAAGCCAAAGCTTTTGAATAAAACATCAGAAATAATACGAATTTCTCTAACTGCACTGATCTTTGCTGTTGCTGCTGCTTCTTTCATACATATTGTGTTGCAGGCTCCACCTCCTCAGAGTGTCCCTCATGAAACACGAGCATTTCTTCTTGCTTCAGAACGTGGGGCTCAAGATCAACTCACAAGAGTCTCAGCAGGACGTAGGAATGAGGTGCAAGACACCCAGACTGTAACTATGTCTTTTATATGGTGACTTAAACTTTGGCACAGCTAAAGGCAAAGTGCCAAACCAGCAACCCTGGAGTGCTTTAAAGAGTAAAACACTGAAAGTCACAAAGGAATGAGACAATCAGCATAGAAAGATTTATTTAAGAAACAGAGGACAGATAACAGTAATGTAGAGATTGATTTCACCATCCATCACCCAGGAAATCCCAGACTGCAGTTCCACAGCAGTGCTCCGAGTTCAGTTGCTGGAAGGCTGTGTCAGGGCTTTGACATGTCTCTGATGGTCTTATGCTCCTTCACTGCTTTCTCCCATTCCTTGCCATTGATATCCTCTGTGATAATGGTCTGCACGGTGCCATCATCCAGGCAATGGGGAGCTATTCCTGAACAAAGACAGAGCACAGAGAAACCTGCTTCTCAGAAAGTGAGGGAGATGCCTGCACCACTCCTGGATGGGGCATCCCAGGGAGTATCAGTGCTATTGTTGTAAGGCTGAGGAGCCTGGATGAGACTCCTGTCCCAGGCACAAGCCCACACATCATAGGTAAGACTGTTTCTTATGGAGGAGCTACAGGTTCAGGCTGCAGTTCCAGATGTTGAACACTTTAGGGACAAACTCTTAAAGACACATGCTGCTGCCTGCTGTCCTGCTGGCATCCAGTGGAGCCTTTACTCAAGGGTTGCTTGGTGGATAAGTTTGGTTACCACAGCTTCCTCTTTGTACCTACCATAACCATCTGGGTTGGAACGAGGAGTATAAAAGCTCTGGACACCACAGGTCTTGCAGAACGTGTGCTGGGCACGGTGTGTGTTGAAGGTGTATGTTGTCAAATTATCAGCACCCTGAGCAAATGAGAAGCAGTTTTCTATGTAAATAGGTTTTCTATATAAATACATGGATAAATTACTTTGGGCCTACAGCTAAGAAATGGAAAATTTAAAATACCACCTTCCTCTCTTGAGACACAGAGTTCTGCATTCATGAGCCCCTGTGCCATTTCCCCCAGCCAGCCACACACAAATTTAGGATAGAAAACTGGGTGTTGCTTGGATCCAGGCTAACACTGGATTATACTGCTCAAGCTCATGGCCATGCTCTTACTGTGCTTTACTCTACCTGCAGCAGCTTGAAACGTGACGCTGGCACAATGAAGTGTCTGTTCTGTTTCTTTGTGCAAATGCTGCAACTGTAAAAGAAAAAGCAGACCTTTCTAGAAGCAGTGGACAAGTTGTAGTGCAGCAGTCAGATCTAGCAGGGACCTCTTGACAACAGAAATTCTACTGACAGTTGGAATGGCTCCTGGGTGGCTTCACAGAGGTAAGTGGTGAAAGTGGACTTGTGGTGTCAGAAGTGTTTGGCTGAGCACACCCATGGAACAGACTGACTCTACACAGGTACCCCCATAAGGTATCTTCCTACACCAAACATTATATTCTTCACATACACAACTCTTAAGGACGCACTCTAGCCCTGAAAAATCTTTCAGACCACGCCTGGCCAATTTTGCCAACATTAATTGCTTTGCAAACAAGAAAGCAAAGTTCAGAAGTTCACCCATGAGCAAAGTGCTTGCAAGCAAAGGGGGATCACTGATGAAATCAGAGAGTGGCTTAGGTTGAGGCATGTGGTCAGAGATGTACTGTCACTTGAGAAGACCAGGTTAAAAAAGGATCAATGTGCTCTGAACCCACTGACTGAGAGGAAATATAAAGCAGATGGCTGAGCACCTGCACTCACTAGATCTCTCCTGACACTTTCTGCATGAGCATGGCTCTGAGACCTGAAGTCCTGCAGCACCTGAAATCCCTGGCGCTGATCTCAGATTGGATCAGGACATAACTGGGGCAAACCCAATGGAAACAGCTCAGAGGGTGTTCTGCAGCTGTCTCATCTTTTAGCTCTAAGGCTGCAAAAGCAGACAAGCTGATATTCATGTATGAGAACAGGGAACAAAACAACTCACTTGCAGTTGAACACGTGCAGATCTGGTGAAGCCCAGACCTCAAATCGGACGGCTCCGCAGTGACAGCCTCCTGTGTGCTTGACCAAACCTCTGTATTCACTGGAGAGAGAAACAACAGAGCTCTTGTGATCATACTCTCTTTTTTTGGCCAAGAAAGCAGTAAGGCTATATACAACATTATTCATGTCTGCCTTGAGCAATTGCAGAGCACCAGGAAATGTATCCAATCAAATGTACTTTAATACCATGGGTCAGAGTGAGGTAGGGAATGGACTTTGTCCTAACAGCAACTGCTTTTGTACTTTAATTAAAATGGTGAAAAGGAAAGAAGAATAGCATTTCTAGGGACCCTCCACTCTGTATAAGAGAGCTGCCCACCACAGTCCAGGTCACAGTGTCACCCAGGCTGCAGCTGTGTCCTGCACAACCCTACAGAAACCGGACAACCTGCTTGGAACTGAGAACTGAAATTTCCCACAATTTTCCCCACAACTCCTCCAGCACCACTAATATTGCTCCATTTAAAAGCTGGAAAAAGCAGAGATAACTGGATTTTACATAATATTTGAAACGTGATTTATTTCAGATTGTAATTGCAGGGGAACTTTATGATCAAGGAATTTCTCAGCCTGTGCCTCTCCCTCTCTCTGAGTTGCCTCCACAGAAGCTGGGCAGACTCACCGCGCCCGGTCAATCACAAAACGCATGGGAAAAACATTTTCCTTACAGATTTTCCCTCCCACGGACACTGACTGATTACAGCGCGGCGATGATGTGCAGCGCTCCGGGCAGAGCGAGCACAGGAAACTGGGTGGAGATTCAGAAGCTGAGCCTCGCGGTGCCCCCAAGGGCATTTTTGCCGGGAGAGGGGTAAAACAGGCAGAAAAAGCCACTTTCCCTGTGGTGCCTGCGCCCCCTCCCCACACCCCGGGTGCCCCCGCCGCCCTCCGCGGCACCTCCCGAAGCCCCTGCACCGCTGTGCGGGAGCGGCCGGGAGAGCGATGCTGCCACGGGCCGGGGCCGGACCGCGGCCCCGCTACTCACTACGCGTCCAGCAGCAGCCGCGCCGCCTCCTCGCAGCTCAGCCCGTGCCGCTTCTGGAAGGCGGCCCAGCGCCCGCTCTGCGCCCCCAGATCGAAGGGGCCGGGGGCGCGGGGGGGCTCGGCCTTCCCCCTGGGCGAGGAGCCCCCCGCGTTCCTGCCCCGCGCCCGGCGGGTCCCGCCCGCGGCCGCGCCGCTCTGCCGGCAGCGCCCCATGCACCGCCCCGCCCGCCGCCACCGGGGGGCGCCCCCGCGCCGGGAGCGGCGAGAGCGGCCACAGCGAGCGGAGCGGGCCCCGAGAGGCGGCCGCGGCGCGGAAGGGGCTGGGACACGGCGGGACAGCGGGGCGGGGCTGGGGCGCCCAGGGGCGGGGTGTGCCCAGGGGGCCGACGAGGCCAAAGGCGGCCTGGCTTGTGACAGCAACAACGTGGCCAGCAAGACCACGGTAGTGGTTGTGCGTGTTCCCCTCACACACACACCCCGTACTCGGTACTGGTGAGGCCGCACCTCCGACCCTGCGTTCGGTTTTGGGGCCCTGACGACAAGAAGGACGTTGAGGGGCTGGAGCGTGTCCAGGGAAGGGCAGAGGAGCTGGGGAAGGGGCTGCAGCACCAGTGAGATGAGGAGCGGCTGAGGGAGCTGGGGGGGCTCAGCCCGCGGGAAAGGAGGCTCAGGGGGGTCCTCATTGCTCTCTAGAAGTCTCTGAAAGGAGGGTGGAACCGGGGGGGGACGGACAAGAAAGGATGGGAGGAAAGGGTCTGAAGTTGCATCAGAGGAGGTTTAAGTTGGATATTAGGAAAACAATTATTCACCGAAAGGGTGTTCAGGCACTGGAACAGGCTGCTCAAGGAAGTGGTTGAGTCACCATCCCTGGAAATGTTCAAGAAACGACTGGATGTGGCACTTGGGGACATAGTTTAGTGGTGGACTTGGCAGTGCTGGGGGACATCCTAAAGGTTTTTCCAGTGGTTCTGTGATTCCATGATTCCAGGGTGTGGGGCAGCAGGGCCAGGGCAGGTGGGCACTGTGAGCAAGCAAAGCTGGAAGGACGTTCATGGCCCAGACTGTTCACGGTGTGTCCCAAGGGACAGCGGGCTCACTTCTCCCACCTCAAACCCCTGCTTAGGCCAGGTATGCCAGTTATCCACAGGCATGAGCCCGAGGTTTTCCCTCTCATTCTGAACATACTCAAGGATGTGAAGGTCTGTGCAGACCTGAGGGGCTGCTGTTGTTTCACATCTCTGCTATGCACAACCCTCATTTAGACACAAGATCACTGTGTGACATCACTCCACTAGTGGTAAATATCTCACAAAAAGCTATTCCTGAACATCTGAAAGCCAGTGCTGTTTCTCAAGTAAAACTGTTCAATGCAGGGAGAAGTCCAAATTTTTGAGGTGTCCAAGGCATATCTGGTTGGGGGGGGGGGGAAATCACTCCAAGGATGAACTTTGTGCCCAGTGTTGCAGGACTGGACGTTCATTTTGTTTGACTTCTAATCAAGGATTTGTATTCAACAGGACTTAATGTCTTGCCCTTTCCAAGAAGAGGAATGGAGAAAGATGTAAACAAGTGAGCTGACGGTCTGTGGAGAGGCAGAAGGTCAGGTCTCAGCCAGGAATATGTCAAAGCAACAGGACAGTGATGAATGAAACATCTCTCAGCACTCTCTGGTCTGGAAAAGAGCTTTAAAAACATGCTAGCACAGTGTGCAGGCTGCTGTCCTGAGATGGCACATACCACGATTTGCATAACAATCCTGTGGCTCAGCACTTCTCCCATGATAGGAAAGGGCACTGAGTTGCAATTTCCTGTCATCCCTCCTGTAAACCTCTGCACTGGTTACTCATTCTAATGGAACCATTTTAATACACCCTGTGTGACAAATTCTGGCCCATGCCAGCGTGTTCATCTGCAGCTCCTGATCTGAGCCACTCCCAGACCTTTAGTCACGCTAGATTTCGTGTTAGTCACCTTATATTTTGGGAGGAAAAAGCCGCTGAGGTGAAACTGGAAAGGCACTGAAACTGAGCCTGTGCAGGTTCCAGCAGGGGTTCATTCCCCTTCAGCACAGACACCAGCAGCAGGCACAGGTTTCAGCCTACATGGTCTGTCCTGTCCTAAAAACACTGAACTGCTCTACACTGACATCCAGAATGTATTTTAGGAGTTTGTTAGTGATCAGTTCACAGAAATGACCTTCTCCCTGTAAGACAGGAGCCACTTGCACCTGTACATGTTCAAAAAGCAGATCCAGGGAGAAAACTCTACTGAGTTTGCAGTCTTTGTAAGATCTGCAAATCTGTTGCTCTCTGTGCCCCTCCACAATTAATTCAGCTTATTTTAAATGTAGAAAGCGTTTTGAGAAGCTAAATTCTGTTCCCCTGTGATGTTTCAGGATAAAGAACTGGAGGATACAAATGGAAGAACAAAATGCAGTTTGGTTTCCTAAGGCCACAGTAAAGAAATTCTTCCTACTTTTTCACTTGTTCCTTATTTTACTGCAGAGGCTTCTCTGAGCTCAAATTTGGCTCTCACGTAAATAATCAGTTCAAGAGCTTTACAGGGGAGCTCTGGATGATGACAAATTTCACAGGTACTCTGAGTTGAAAGCCCTAAATTTCAATGATCACATACTGTATTGTCAGTGTACCTGGGCAGCAGGTGCTTTGTAGTGTCCAGAGATTTAACAGCTTTCATTTCATTATTCCAAAGCTGATGCAATGTTTGCCAGATTTTAGTAGGGGCCAATAGCTTGACAAAAAATGTATTTGCTCTTAAGCTTGCGAAGCAAAATGGAGAAGGAAGAATTATCCAGAGGGATGATGGGATAGACAAGAGGAAAAGTCCAGTAAATCACAGCTGGTTCTCTGTGTAGGTGGCTTGTGATACTCAAAGTCCAACAGTTGACGTGTTCCAGTGTTAAAGTACAAACAGGTTTTTCTGTGCCACCTCAGCTCTGCTTGTATAACAATGACTCAGCTCTGCAGCTCTGGCTCACAGCCCACATTGAAATTCTGTCTGTGGGAGCATTTTCATCCCCAAAGCAGCACTGAAAGCAGCTACATGTTTGTGAAAAGGAATTAGGAACTGTGATGGTTTTTATCGAATAAGCAGGGGACTAGGAGTTGTGTATAGCTGACACCACGCTGAAAAGAACAGGTTGTTAAAACTACGTGGTATGTTCAGGGGACACAAATGTCAGGGCTTGGTTTTTAGTGTCCTAGTGGAGGGGGAAGCATTCTGGACATTCTCCTCACCATCAAGGGACCCAAGCTGGATCTGAAAACAAAGTGCAGGAGGTATCACCCCTGGGCCAATGGATAAAGCCTGGTCAGAACAGCCTTGGCAGTGTTTGTTTTTGTTCACTGTCACAGGGATTCTACTGAACATATTAACAATGGTTAACAGCATTTTAGGACTTACTTCTATCTGTCTGTCTGTCTGTCTGTCTGTTTTTCAAGGTGCTTCTTTGCTACCCTGCTGAAATTCCTCACCCCAGAAACCAGAAGCTGAAAGGGCTCCGAGGCAGCAGAGGGGACGAGAACAAAGAGCTCCCTCCCTGCACTGCAGCTTGGATCGGATCCAAAACACTCAGGGCGGGAGGCAGACTGGAGACAGGCAGACAAGTAATTTTTAGAATAGACCTAGTTATTAATTGTTGCTTTCACTGGCACAACATGCAGACACAAGCCTGTGATTTTAGCCCAATGGTGGCTTTATAAAATGCCCTCTGTAAGTCTCCTTCCATCAGAGCAGAGTGAACAGACACACGTTCCTCTGGGTCATTCAGACCTGCAGAGAGAGACGTGCCCAAGCCTGTTTATCAGGGCAGCACAGATCTTACAGCTGAATCCCATGTGTCCTGCAGAGTTAAAATATTCTTAAAACAAACAGGGAGACAGAGGAGTATCCCTCACTTTTCTCCTTTTACTACCAATCTATTTGTTTTTCTTATGCTTTCAGCTCCTGAAGTTGGAAGCTTAATAAAAACTTTGTTTATTGAAGGTGGTGGGTTTTTTTTTAGCACAAGGCTTTAAAAACAAAACTCAGCGAGTTGTCTTTTTTTGGTAATCTGATAATATTACAGTCAATCTCTCAGTACTTAGAATTATGACTCACTATTTTTGTAACCCTTGAACTTGGCAGCACGGGGACAAGCAGCAACATGCCACGAGTCTGTTTGTCTCGTGGGTGGAACTTCAGCAAAGTCTGGGTCTTATTGCAGTGTTACAGGCTTGGGGAGGATATATTTATCTCCACGACTGTAAATAAGTAAATATAATTATCCTGTGTTATAAACAGTGAGAGAGATCTGAGGTAGGTGTGAGTAATGTTATGAGATAGGAATATATATATGTATAGTTCATACATATTGGTTTCTTCCCTGTGGCAAGTAGCCCTATTTTTGTCTGAACAAAGAACAGTAACTGGACTTGCAGCACACCCTCAGAAGGCCTGACAGGCTGTCCCAAGCTAAACCTTGTAACTAAAGATGAACAGATTGCCTCAGTCCACATTGCTCATGGAAAAATGATCCCTCGTTGCTAGGACATTAGCCTACATAAAAAGCAGCCCCAGCTTGTGTTCCAGAATGTACAGATTCGTTGGAAACACTTCCCTGACCCCAGATTCTTCTCCTCTGAAAGTAGGTTGCTTTGTACTACTGCCCAGTGACCTACTTTTGAAACCACTTGGAAGGAAATACGTGTTCCCAACTGCAGGCCCCATGCCCTGGCGAAAGCTGGAGCCACCTGTGCAGCCAGGCCAGTCACAAGATACAGATTTCTGGGTTTTTTTCAGCTTTGCATTTATTTATATACAGTTCAGAGTCAGCTGCTTCATGATTTTTATTCACCAGAAGCCACTGGAGGAAGAGTGGAATGTTTGTTAAATACATGTGCTTTGTACAATCAGGATTTAGCCATTCTTAGGAGAAAAAAACCAAAACAAATTAAAGCTCCTCTGCTTTTTGGTTTATACAGAAAGGAAAAATTGACGGAAATTTCTTCTTCTCCACCTCCAAGGACATTAAAAAGGGAGACATGCACGGAGAAATCCTTAATACAAGTCTGATCTGCTCAGACACTGCCCAGGCTTTACATTAGCCTGTGGTTCATCTCCAGCTTTACAGACGTGCCATTTCACATTTGTAAATATTAGTTCCTCGTGGCCTCCCTCTCCAGACTCCGTGGCAGAGTCTGTCCCTGGAGCTGAGCCTGGGATGTGCAGCATGCCCAGGCCAGCCTTGGAGCAAACATTCAGTCCCCCTGGCACCACCAAACAAAACCAGCCTGCTGGAAACACTGAGCAAAGCTGGCAGCACAGAGCATACCAATGGGAAATTGCCCAACTCTGCCTTTTGCTCTAAATTTATGTAGCCAAACAATATTTCCGAGGTTGGCTATTGCCATGGAGCTCTCTCCGAACGTTCCAGTTACCATTTTTTCCCCTCTTCCTGTTTCTACAGTGCCAGTAATTATTGTTAGGATGATTTATTTCCTTTTTACTGTAAACCAGGGAGTTCTAGAAACCCTGTGAGGAGAAAAGAAAGCAAAAGGATTTTGTTGATGGTGGCGAGGTTTTTTGGTGGTTTTGTACTTCTGTCTAGGTTTGGGGTTTTTGTAGGGGGAAATAGAACAGCTCTGTGCTGAATCTCACACGAGTGCTGATGCTTTGTTAGGCGAGGATTGAACAAGGTCATTTGCCTTCACTGAAGGAGCAGCAGATAAAGCTGCTAGAAAACACATAAAAACCTTCTTGGACTTTGTGTATCCAGCTTTAATATGACATAAAACGAGTTAAGAGACAGACTGAAAGGTACGGTAAAGCCTAATTAACCCTGGGCGCATTTCCAAATCAGCTCACAGAAGGAAGTTGCTCCATAACCGATCAAAGCTTCCTGTTCTGGGGAGGCGAGTAAACAAGCATTTGAATTACAAATGTCAGCATTTCATCACGGGGCTTGTTTTGCAGCCTCACATTAGAGAATTAACCGGTCAGCCCGGTTCCAGCCAGTTCCAAGGGCAGCTCAGGAGCTGGGCCGCGTGACTGGGGCTGCTCGTGTGACACACCGGGAGCCACCAGCGCTCCCCCAACTCCTAAATTATGTATTTCACCACCTTTGCCAACTCAGTCCTGCTTTTCCTCTCAGCCTGATGGGGCAGGACCAGCCCTCCAGACTGTTCTGGGCTTTCCCGTGAATTCTCAGCCATCCCAGGGAAGGGGTCGGTCAGAGGCGCTGGGGGTCACAAATCGCTGGCACCAAGGGTCACCCTCCTTTTTGGGAGGCACCTTTGCTCTAGTCCGTGCCAGGCTCTTCCCTGAGCTCTGCCGGGGTTAAGGCAGGGGTTAAAAAGCCACAGTGTCACACAATTCCAATCCCTGTCCCCTCAGGATCCGGGCTCCCCTCACCCACTCCCCCGCCTTCCCCCCCTGAAATCTGCCCCGCCAGGCGGCGCCCGCTTAGCAACAGCGTGACCTCACCGCGCACCAATCAGCGCCGAGCGGCGCCGAAGCTTCCAGAGCTTTCCCTGCAACGGCCGCCCCCGCCCCTCGCCAACTGCCCCTCGCGTCAGCCAATCAGCGACCGCCCTGCGTCACGCCCCGCCAATCACCGACGGACTTCCCGGTCGCCCTACGACCGCCTAACGCAGCGCCTCGAGGGAGGACACTTCCAGATCCATCCGCGTTCTCAGAAATTTATGGAATTTTAAGGGTCTGAGCCCCCTTACTGAGACTCCGGAACCTCCTTTTTTGCCTAGAAGAGAGATTGGAGCGGAAAAAAAGGGCAGTATTTTCCATAATAGCGTTTTTTTCCTGGGGACTACTTTGCGAGGCGGATGGACACACTGGTGGCGGTGGGCGGGGACTATGTGGTCGTTGCCCGATAAATAGGGGCGGGTGTGCGTCACTCGGCAGAGCTGAGCTGCAGCGATACAGACACACTGTGAGGGATCAGCGCTCAGGGCCGGAGACGTGAGTGCGCCGGGGGGAGCTCGGGGAGCAGAACGGGAGAAACGGGGCGGGTTTGCTAGGCAGGAGCGAACCAGGCGGGGTGGGCGCTGCTGGGCGGGTTGGGGGAGTTTGCGGGGCGAGCCGGAGCGGGGGGCGGCCAGAATTGCGCATTGTTTCGTGTTGCTCTGAGCCGCGTCGGTGAGAGCTGAGGGGGGATGTAGAGGAGGGGGCAATCAGAATGACCGCCGTGCGGGAGGGCGGTGTCGCTGTGGTGAAGATGGCGGGGGTTGAGGCTGAGGCTGAGCCGCCTCGCCCGGAAGGCGGGTGTGAGTCACGGCCGGGGCGGGGGAGTGGCCCCGCCGCCCCAGGGCGGGTCCCGGGGGGGGGGTTCTGGGGCCTCCGGTGCCGCGGGGCTGCTTTGGGAAGGGGGTGTGTGAGCGGGGTCCGGGAGCTCCGGTGCCGCGGGGCTGCTTTGGGAAGGGGGTGTGTGAGCGGGGTCCGGGAGCTCCGGTGCCGCGGGGCTGCTTTGGGAAGGGGGTGTGTGAGCGGGGTCCGGGAGCTCCGGTGCCGCGGTGCGCGGGGGTTCGGTGCTGAGGTTCCGCAGTGCTGCCCTGCGGGAGGGTCTGGGGGTCCCAGTGCTGCCCAGTGGGGCGGGGATCGGAAAGGGCTCTGAGGGCCCCGGTGCATCGCTGTGGGGGTGAAGAGGAGACCGTCTGAGTGAAAGGGCACTCCGGTAAAAGGCAGTGTAAGGAATCTGTTACGCAGCAGACTGTGCTTCAGAAAGAGGGTTAGTTACTTAAGTTAGAGAAAGCTGGTAGAAAATACGATTTTAAAAAAATAAACGTTCTAATTGGTCTTTACCTAGTGTGAAACAGCAACAGTAATCCCTTTATTTAGGATTTACTAAAGGCTTTACTGAAATAGCTGTAACTGAAACACCTGTATGTCTTGCAGGTCAACATGCAGATCTTTGTGAAGACCCTGACTGGCAAGACCATCACTCTTGAGGTTGAGCCCAGTGACACCATTGAGAATGTCAAGGCCAAGATCCAGGACAAGGAGGGCATTCCCCCAGACCAGCAGAGGCTGATTTTCGCTGGCAAGCAGCTGGAGGATGGTCGCACCCTGTCCGACTACAACATCCAGAAGGAATCCACCCTCCACCTTGTGCTGCGTCTGAGAGGTGGGATGCAGATCTTCGTGAAGACCCTGACTGGCAAGACCATCACCCTGGAAGTTGAGCCCAGTGACACCATCGAGAATGTGAAGGCCAAGATCCAGGACAAGGAAGGCATTCCTCCTGATCAGCAGAGGCTGATCTTTGCCGGGAAGCAGCTGGAAGATGGTCGTACCCTGTCCGATTACAACATCCAGAAGGAGTCAACTCTGCATCTTGTCCTGCGTCTGAGAGGTGGGATGCAGATCTTTGTGAAGACCCTGACCGGCAAGACCATCACTCTCGAGGTTGAACCCAGTGACACCATTGAAAATGTGAAGGCCAAGATCCAGGACAAGGAAGGCATCCCTCCTGATCAGCAGAGGCTGATTTTCGCTGGCAAGCAGCTGGAAGATGGTCGCACCCTCTCTGACTACAACATTCAGAAAGAATCCACGGATGCAGATCTTTGCAGCCTGACTGGTAGACCTCACCCGAGTTGGGCCCAGTGCACCATTGAGAATGAAGGCCAGATCCAGGACAAGGGGCATTCCCTGACCAGCAGAGCTGATCTTTGCCGGGAAGCAGCTGGAAGATGGTCGCACCCTCTCTGACTACAACATCCAGAAGGAATCCACCCTCCACCTTGTGCTGCGTCTGAGAGGTGGGATGCAGATCTTTGTCAAGACCCTCACTGGCAAGACCATCACCCTTGAGGTTGAACCCAGTGATACCATCGAGAATGTCAAGGCCAAGATCCAGGACAAGGAAGGCATTCCCCCAGACCAGCAGAGGCTGATCTTTGCCGGGAAGCAGCTGGAAGACGGTCGCACCCTGTCCGACTACAACATCCAGAAGGAGTCCACTCTGCATCTTGTCCTGCGCCTCAGGGGTGGGATGCAGATCTTTGTGAAGACCCTGACCGGCAAGACCATCACTCTCGAGGTTGAGCCCAGTGACACCATTGAGAATGTCAAGGCCAAGATCCAGGACAAGGAAGGCATTCCTCCTGATCAGCAGAGGCTGATTTTCGCTGGCAAGCAGCTGGAAGATGGTCGCACCCTCTCTGACTACAACATTCAGAAGGAATCCACCCTCCACCTTGTGCTGCGCCTCAGGGGTGGGATGCAGATCTTTGTCAAGACCCTGACCGGCAAGACCATCACCCTGGAAGTTGAGCCCAGTGACACCATCGAGAATGTGAAGGCCAAGATCCAGGACAAGGAAGGCATTCCTCCTGATCAGCAGAGGCTGATCTTTGCCGGGAAGCAGCTGGAGGATGGTCGCACCCTGTCCGACTACAACATCCAGAAGGAATCCACCCTCCACCTCGTGCTGCGCCTCAGGGGGGGCTGTTAAGTTCTTGTGCATCTTGCTTGACAACAGGATTGCCAGTGGCACTTGTGTTTGCACTGTAGTTCCTTTAATGTCTTAATATTAAGTTAATGCAAGGTTAATGCAAGCTTGAGTAACTGCTGAACAACTGTCTGTTGAAATGCTAATAAAGTTTTCTGTTGCACATTAAAACCTGTAGTCTGTCTCAGTTCAAGCAAGTAAAACTGGTGTATTAAATGCTTTGGCTTCCTTCCATGGCAGTTTAAGCTTCTCTGCATGTATAATGAGGACCAACCTTGTGGTTAAAATGGATCTGGATTAAAATCTTAAATTAAGTGCTAATACCATGTTGTTTCTTATTCTTAGAGTTTAATGTTTCTGTTTGGGAGAAGTTCTTTAAAGACCCCAAAAAGCCGCAAAGTGAATAAAGGAATGTACTGGTCATTCCAGTGGGGTGGGTTTTGCTGCAAGTTGTAAACTTGTGTGTTTGTCTCAGCTAGTCCTGAGAGGTGGGTGGGAAGGGTGATGGTGTGGGGGGAGTTGCTGGCATGGGGAGTTGCCCTATGGTGGGTGGGAAGGTGCCCTTCACTGTCCCTATTGAAACTTCTTTTTAAATATAAATGTGACTGAGCAGTGTAACAACTACCTAATTGAGGTGGAAGTTTTACACAACCCTTTAGTGGTGGAAGGGAGGGAGTTCCACTAAAATCTGAGTTGTCTCCTTGTTGGTTGGTTTGGGGTGGGGAGGGAGGTTTATTTTATTGTTGGGGGGCTGAATTAAGAAAACTCCCCCAAACAGGTGGGGTTGGGCTGGTTTAGTTCAGCTGGGTCTTAAAAGGTGGATGAAATTATCCATGTGCCCTTCCACAGAAACTCCCCAGGTTGGAAGGGTGGTTCCTACCAGTGTCTTCACCTGCTAAGTTTTGTCAGCTGCTTATCTTGAAGTGGGAGCCTTGGCCTCATCTGCTGAGTGCACAGTGATTCTGTGCTGCTGCCCTTTTCCCTGATAACTTGGTTAACTTTTTTTGCCCACTGTAGTGCTGCTGTGAAAGTCTGTTCCTCTCCAATTTCAGCTTTTGGTGTAACTTCCCGGAGTGTCTGTGGTAAGTGTTGCACTTAAAGCTAGGCGGAGATGTTATTCTCTTCATAGAAAACTGCACATGGCAATAAGTTCAGTGTGGGTTTGATGGTTATAGCCCTGATAGGATATTTGGGTTTTTATCAAGGTTTGCTTCCCTGTGTGCTGCACGTAGCTGTGCTAGCAGAAGTATAAAGTTCTGTCAATACTCATCTCTGCCACAAGAGATACCCTCCTTAGTTTAAGTTTTCCTGCAGTTTTACCTTTGATTTGATGCTTTGTGCAGTTGAGCCACCTGGGCCTGTTGCCCACAGGCACCTTCCTGTGAGACACTAAAAAGTCATGGGCAAAACCATGATAATAGTTCTGGGCAACCAATTTAGGGTGGCCCTGGTTGAGAAGGAGGCTGGACAAGGTGACCTCCAGATGTCCCTTCCAGCACCAGCCGTTCCTGACTCATTCCAGCAGGGTGTCCATAGCCCTGCTCACTGTTCACAGTCCCTGAGCAGTTCAGAGTCCAGAGGAGATTTCAACACCAAGTAAATTTACATTCCTTATCTTTTCCTGCTGCTGATTTGCTCTGTGGTAAAACTGGCTGCTTTATGTTCTCTGGCTCATAAAGGTCCTTCTCAAGTTTTATAGAAGTTACAAGGAAATGTGAATATGAATTTGCATAACGTGCATTGATTACAATGAGATTATTAACAAAAGATGAAGTAAGAGATCAGGCAATATATGAATGATGTTAAGATACATTTTTTTATTATTACAGTGTGGTGGTACCTCAAAAATCTCCTTAGAGACAACTATTCATAACTAAAATAGGAATTTAATAGGTTTTAGCCAGAATCTGTATCACAGAATCACAGAAATGTTAGGGTTGGGTGGAACCTCTGGAGATCACCCAGTCCAAACCCTCGCCAAGGCAGGGTCACCTGGAGCATGTCCAGGTATGAGAACCATCCTAATGCTCCCACAGATTGACAACAGATTCTGATATTGTCTTTTAATCCTGCTGCAAGCTGAGCTTTATGACTGGCCTTTGGGTTTTTTCTTATTGCTTCAGTTAATTTCTAGTCTGCCCTCACTCAAAAAAACCACAAACAAACAAACAAAAACCCAAACGAAAACCAAACAACAACAAAACCCTCCAAATCAAACACCCAAAGCCCCCAGCCAAGTCTTCTGTGCTTTAAAATAATTACCTATATCCATAAAAAGACAACCCATTACCCTGGGCTTTGGATATATTTGGTGTTTTGCTCTGTCAGCAACTGCCCCACACAGGGCAAGTGAGGGTTAAGGCAGATAAGCATTAGGAATAAATTCCTCAGTATTTCTGCAGCCTTGTCCACAATTCCAAAGGCTGTGTTCAAAGATCCTTTGGCTGCCCATATAAATTTTATGGGTGTGGAATATTGCTGCATCATCCAAAGCAGCCTTACTTGGAATATAAGTTTTTAAATTAGACAAATTTCTGCTAACTATTTTGATACAAATATTAAGTGAATAGCTCTAATTCCCACAGGTAGGTGCCTGCAACTGTTTCTCCTCTCTTTTTTGGTTTTTTTTTTTTTTTTTTTTTATCTATTTCCCATGGAGGCTGTTTCGAAAGCAGCAGGAATTCAGGTTTGCTCGGTGGCCACAGGATGTCACTGTTCCTCCACAAACGGGTTCCTTTCCAACCTCACCGCTGGATTTCCTCTTTTGCTGCGGTTTGATTGTCAGCAGAGCATTCCGACAGGCTGTGATCCTACAGAAGGGGATACATCAAGCAGAAAGATACTTCCATTTTAGGAATAAGAGGGCTGGAATGTTCCTTCAAAGGCCCGAGGAGTGTATAGATTGGAGCCTTTAGATGTTATGATGTGGGACTGGCGATTACAGAAATACTGTCACGTGGATGAATTGAGCCCCCTGGGCTATCAGACAAGTCCTGACAAGGGATTATGTTTAAGAATATTTATATTTTAGATTGGGCACTGGCTGGTGCCCCTAGAGGTACAGGATTCCATCTGGGTAACTAACAAATGAAGCTGCTTAAAGTTCATCGCTTCAGTGAGGGTTTTACATAACAGTTGCATGGAAAAAAAATGGTCAGGCCTTGCAAAAACGCTTGACATTTTCCCAGGTGTGAAAGTACACCTTTAAAAGAAACAGTTGTTCCTTAACCACGTGGCTTTTGCTGCCCTACCCGTTGTTTTTAAGAGAATTTTGATGCTCTACCCTTGCCTGTTGTTATTACAGGGTTTCCTCCCCCATGAGGATGATTTTGAGCTGCTACACCTGAGAGTGGCCACACATTTAAGTGACTTTGAATTTCTATTTACAGCATGCAGAAAACAATCATAAGACTTATGTTTTCCAGTATTTGGTCAAAATGGGATCTTAGGTGAACAGAGAATATACATTTTAGAAAATGAGCTGGCTTCCATGGAACAGTGTGTTCCTCATGCTTCCTTTTGCCTTCTGTTTAAGCAGGTTCCAGTCATTGCTTTTCCTGCCATGAATTGCTGTGCTTCCTCATGTATAATCTGTAATTATGAATATGATTGATAATATTATTAAATGAAAAATAAGGTAGTTCCTTAAAATTTCACTTAAGAGTTTGACTTCTCTCCTCCCAGATTGAAGGTTTCCACAGAACTCGTCTCTCCTGTCAGGAGAAACTCAGCACCAACAGGCACATTTTCATCAGTAAAATAAGTACTGAGCACTTGTGGGATTCCTTCTTCCTCCCACACATAAAAGCCTCAAAAAGCCAGAGGATCACGTGCTGCTTTAGTAACATTCAGGCTGGCAGACAGGTGAAATGAAGTTGCTGCTTTTATTCTCCCTGCATGCTGCTCTAGGTGGCCTCCTCCTGAGTGCTCACAGCTCTCAGGATTCTAGATTTTGGTGGCAGGATGCTTGCTGAGCATCATCACCAGCTCAGCAGCGACACAAGCCCATCACCGACCTCGGATGTGTCACTGCTGAGGACACATTTGGGCAGATTTTGTGATTTCTCTCTGCTTTGCTTCTCCCTTCTCTCAAATGGAAGTGCCAAGAGTTTCCTCTGTGTGCACATCCCAGTGTTCCTGAGCTTCCCAGCAGCTCCACGGATCTGTCTGGCTGGGGTCACCTCTCAGCTGGCAGCGATTCCTTTCCCAGCAAGTTGCACATTCTCCTTCCTCTATTAAAACCAGATGTGCAGAGAGAACTCTGCTGAGATGCACTTTTGTGGGCTGATTTCATTCCTTGGCTGCAGTGGTGGGATGCCTCCAATGAAAGCTGGGGGAGAAGCCCAGGAGGATTTAAACCCATTAGGCTGAGCTAAGCTCCTGAGCCTGAACCTCTGCTGATATCACAGTAAATTAGATGTAACACAACTAAAGCAAACTGAGCTGAATCAGTGCAAATGAGAATGAGAAAGGGATAAGAGAGATGAGATCTTGCCTTGCATTTATCTCTTTGTTCTTTATAGGCTGTTCTGTGGGTCTTAATGAGTCATTAAGAAGCCATCATGGAAAGAAGCAGCAGCTTTGTGTTGTCACTGGACCAGCTTCATTTTGAAACACGGGAATCTGAGAAACAAGCTTGTCATCTCCTGCAAGACCGTGAGGAGGACAAGGCACCCTGCCATTTAATGGGTGTATTTATAGGAAGGTCGTCTCACAGGCTGCATCTGAGTCAAAGTCGAAGCCATCTGGGAATGTTTCTGTGGGTGACGACCACATTCCAGGAAGCGTCACAGCATCCTGCAGTCCTGTGGGATGGGGGTTGCTTTAGGCTCTCATTTGGCTCATGGTAGGTCTGGAAGAAGGAAGCCCCAGCCAGAGTTCAGTGTGTCATGATGTGACAGCCCTTCTCAACGTTTTAGGACCAGTGGTTAAGTGAACTCTTGGGGTTTCCCCTGGGCCGTGCCCCTGCTGTCGAGGTGTGGGTTAGAAGAGCTTTTTACCATTTTGTTGGTTAATGAGATTCTCTAGTTGAGCTCTAGACCTCATAAATGGCTTTGCAAAGCGTCAAGAGGTGCAGGTGAGAATCCTTGCAGCAGCACCCTGTGGGGAAGGCTGTTGAGGCAGCGGGTGCTGGGTATCATCCCGTGCTGGTGCTGTGGGAAATGATCTTGCTGCCTGCTCGGGGCTGTTCGGGGAGGGAGAGAAAGAACTAAAACACGTGGTGTGGGTTGGTGTCCTCTGTCTCCCAGGGGTCCTGTTTTGTGAGTGGTAAGTGAAGCAGTTTTGGGGTCCCAAGGACAGTCAGTTGTAGGGGTGGCCAGACCGTGCTCCCAGGAGAAGCCTCTCCGAGATTTGCACTCCTTTGGAGAACCAGCCCATTAAGAAATGGGCACTAGAGGCAAATTAAGTAACCAGTGGCCTGAGTGTTTCTGAACAGGGGCTGCTCTGTGCAGTTCCCTGCGCTCGTGATGAGCAGCTGATTGTGTGGGGTCACATTCTGGTCCCCTTATTTACTCACACAGTTTATGCTGCCTCGGAACTGGGGTGGGTGGGGTTGGGTGAGCAGATCTGGCTCCCCACAGGAACGGTTGAGCTCAGCTGTCTCCATGCACTCTGTGCTTGTCCTGGGGCTGACTGAGGGACCCTGTGACAAACCTCCCAACTGCACCAGGGGCTCTGGCACTGTCAGGGGCAAATCCACCTCGTCCCCTGAGCTGTGAGAGGGCTGTGCTCGGGAGCCACGAGGCGCTGGCTCTGCGTGTGCAGGCAGGGGTTAAGCATTCTGAATTTGCAATAGCCAGGCAGCTTTCCCATATAAGAGCACTGCACTCATTGGCTCTCTCTTTTACTGAGAAATCCATCTAGTCATTTCCTGTGCAAGCCCTCCTTCACTTTGCAAAAAGCCATACAGTTGAGTAAATAGCAGGACTCTGTGGTTATTCCTTGGATTCTCTCATGGACCACCACCAACCAGGAGTTCAACGCTGTGCCATCAGCAGACTGCTAATGTGAGCATGGTCTTCTCTGCAGAAGAGGAGGACTCTCACCCATGGATGTAAACAATTTTGGGTCTGCTTTCATGCTTATTAACACTTGTTGGTATTGGACTTGGTTTCTGCTGAGAGGTTATTTACCCTCTGAAGGCTCTGTTGGGACTCCTTGTCAGATCTGTTCTTGGGTGGAGCTTGCAACAGTTTGGGGTAAGTGCTGTGCTCTTCCTGTTCCGACAGCAGGGCTTGGTGCTGCCCTTCTCAAAAGGGCTTGGTGGGGTCTCAGAAAGAAATAAATAACTCAGTTCTTGAGTGGAGAAGTGGAAGCTGAGCTGGCAAGCAGAGAGTGCTCCCTGTGTTTCCCAGGGATGCACCAAGTGGGTGTAGGGTCCTTTTTGTAGGACCATTTTGCTCTTGCTTTTAAACCAGCCGGTCTGTCTGGACAAGGCTGACAGTAAATAACTCTCCTGAGCGCTGTGGAGAGATGGGAACTGCAGCTGAGAAATGATTTGGGGGAAAGGAAGACAGCAAAGCACAAGCAAACTGTTGTGGAAGCACAGATAGCCCTCTGAAGGATCAGCAAACGTACCAGTAAGTGCTCTGGGGAAGGAAGTAAAAGTCTGAAACAGCATTCTGGGGTGTTTGCCTGTGAGGGCAGAGGAATGTTTGTCATTAGAGAGCAGACTAAACTGAATGTCTGAATTATCATAATGGTTTGTCTTGAAATCAGCCCTTGGATTTCTTGCTGTGAGCCGCATAAAGATGCTTTGTGGCTGTTTTCTGCCTGAGAACTGTGTTTTTTCACACCCTAATCTAAGCCAAATTGCTTATGCTGTGTCCATTTACCTCTTTGCTGGTACAGGCTATGGAGTCTGGCTGTAGTCCCAGCAAGGGAGATTTCTCCTCAGAGAAAACCTGTTAACCATTTGGAGGGAGTGCATGGGAAGGAGACAGAGTTATTAACAAACACTCTGCTGCAGGTTGGTAGTCGTGGATGTTTAATTACAAACGGTGTGAATCTGCAGTCACTCTGACTTCAGACAGTGTGTGTTGGGTGTGGTCTGAGTTATATTCAGATATATGAGATGTCTGAAAAGAGTCAGAAAGGGGTTCAGGATGTATTAGATGAGAGAAGGGGCTGGCTGGGTGCTCTGCTGAGACTGCTGCTCCCTGTGCAGCAGGTTTGGGTCAAGCTGTGCTCTGTGCAGGCTCCCAGGGCTGGGAGTGTCCCCAGGGCAGCTGGGCTGTGTGTTTGCCTGTGCTGTGGAGCTGGGAGTTCAGAGTCTGTGCTCTCATGGAGAGCCAACAGCTCCAAATGTCTAATATCTATCTAATATCTACTATATATGACCCCACTCATTTTGCCCCAGGATGAATTGCATGAGGGGAACACAATTTGTGCACGTGCTTGCCCTGTATAAACAGTGCAGTGCTCCCCAACAGGGGACATGAACAGACTGATCACTGTTCCAAAGAAGGCCTACAGTGAATCTTATCATTTGGGCCACTCTGTGACCAGGCTGTGCCGGTTGCCCCGAGACAAGAACAACGATCATGGTCTCCTAAAGAGCCACTTTCCTTGCCTTTTATGTAAGGAACCTGTGCTGCTGCCAACAGGTGAGGTCATCTCACAAAGGGGGTTCAGATGTGCTGCAGACAAGTTTGCAGCCTGTATTTCATGAGCTGCCTTTGAACTTCTCCAGTGGAACTCTGTTCAAGACCCTGATCCTTTATTCAAATACTGCTCCTTTATTCAAATACTGCTACTGCACAGAGTTTTACTGAATCTCCCTCTCCAAAGGGACCCAAAGTCAACTGTAGGACACTGGGAACTGTGTCACACTGAGCACATTCTGGGTTTGTGATCAAACTGGTAACTCTCCCCCTCCCTCACAGGTTTGGTCCCCCAGCAGGGAACGTCTTTGTTGACCTGCAAGACCATCCCTCCTAGGAATGGATAACTTCACCAACGGGCAGCCGGGCCCAGGCCAGAGGAACAGGTTCATAGGGTTGTTGGAAACCGATGACAGCGCCCAGGAGGATAAACCTGCCCCCAGGAAAAAGGAGGAAAGATCCGGGCCTGGAAAGAAAGGAGAGACACGACCCCTGGAGACTCCTTACCAGAAGGAGAGCAGCGAATTTGCTCCCAAAATCAAGGTTAACCTGAATTATCGGCCAGGACTCGTCAGCAAGTGAGTAACTGTTGGGTGTTGGCAGGGGGTGATCTGGGTGATCTGTGCTGATCCCTGCCCTAAATGGGGGCCTACAGACTTCACCAAGTCCAAACTGAAAGTGGCCCTGGGGGGATATTACAGGCATCTGGTGGGAGGGCAGTAAAGCAGGAAGGAGATCTGTTCAGCCTCTGCTGCTGCCCCTGGAAGGTGCACGCCTGTTGGGGTGTATTTTGGGTAGATCTGAGCTAACATTAATAAGCCACGTTGGGTGTCAGAGCAGCTTCTCGTGGAGCTCTGTCCAGCTGAGCTGTTCTTGCCAGGGAGGGATGTGAACCAGCTCACAGAGTGCTTCCACCATGTGATGGGCCTGACTCTGGTCCTGCAGCTATCTTGGGCTTCTCTTTGAGCTCTGGATGAGTGCCAGGGTTGCACATCAGACTGGATCTGGGAAGAGCTCCAACTGATGGAAAGAGCAGCCACTTTAGAGAATTCTGGGAAATAACAGTCTCTATTTTTCCCTCGACTCAAAAATAAAATACTTGTGTGGGTTTGTTTTTTTTTCTGACAAATTTTCCTCCCTCCCTCCTTTCTTACACTGTCCCACTAGGACTCGTGGCACATTCCTGTCTCTGCTCTCCAGAACTTCCTAACACTTGGCACTTTTCCCTACAGCCAGAAGGACCCAAATCGCTTTGACAGGGACCGTCTGTTCAGCGCTGTCACCAGGGGCACCCCCGAGGCACTGGATGGTTTGCTGGGGTACTTAAGGAGGACCTCCAAATTTCTCACTGATTCCGAATACACAGGTAGATTGCTGCTCAGTATTCCATGAACAGGCTTAGCAGGGGAATCTGCTCACAGTTATTTGCTTTCTCCAGCCTTCTGCCCATTCTTTTATTTTCTAATGTTCACCTGAAGATGGAGAATGCCCTTAATTAAATATATTTTAAGGTTTTTGCCTCTACTGCAGACTAAAACTACTGATAAAAAACATTTAAAATAATGATTGTCTTTGGTCCTACAGTTTTAAGTTCTGAATCAAGCAATACAGCTGTGTGCAAAGTACACACACAACCCCTTCAATACTCTCTTTCTGCCAGATGCAAAGACTGGGAAAACCTGCTTAATGAAAGCCCTGTTGAACTTAAAAAATGGAATGAATGACACAATCCCAGTCTTGCTGGAAATAGACCAAAAGACACAGAACCCCAGGCCGCTCGTCAATGTGTCGTGCTCCGACTGCTACTACAGAGGTGAGGTTTGGGTGGTGGTGCTGTGGCAGAGCAGCTTCCCCCTTAGGCAGGTGAGATGTGCAGGCACAGGGGAAAGGAGGGGAACTGGAGCTTATTCAGCACTGCAGATCCAGAGTGATGGTGCAGTTACAGTAACAGCCTACTCACCTTTTCTTTTCTGATTCTGCTGCTGCATCTTCTTCGGCCCTGAATTACACCCTGCTGCCAACTTCGGTCTTGGTCTGTAAACCAGAAATGGTACACGTTTAATAGCCCAAGAAATGAGAGGATTTGCTGGGGAAAGCATAAAAAGCAATCCTGAAAACGAGGAAGGAATAATGTGTCATTCTGACACACGAGTTCTGCTGCTTGGGTTGTGCTTTCGATAGCGAACGTGCAGCACGGTCATGTACATGTATGGTTGTCTTAATCCTCTCATGGCTGCTTGGGATCTCAGTGCCAGGCAGGAGTAATTGCCTGGTCTTGTGCTGAATTTCAGATAGTTTTGAGGCCTGTCTTCTGCCTCAGTGCCTGCAACATTCCAAGGACTGTTGTTGAAAGTCCTGAGCCAGCCCCCAGCTCTGGGGCTGCAGTTGCTGTGCAGAACGTGCAGCTTTTGCTCGAGCCCTGTCCTGTCCCCTCTGAGAGGGGCAGGGGGTGACAGGTTCTGCTGTTTGCTCAGGCCAGACAGCCCTGCACATTGCCATAGAGAAAAGGAGCCTCCCTTTGGTGAAGCTGCTGGTAGAGAACGGAGCTGATGTCCATGCCAGAGCCTACGGGGAATTCTTCAGGAAGAAGAAAGAAGGAGTTTACTTTTATTTTGGTGAGTCAGTGTGGAACATGTTCCTTCCCTTTTTTTATTGCCATACCAAATGTGACATCTCTAATTCTAGTTGGGTTTGCCTATCTGTGCATCAAGTTGTCATCTCCAATGTCCTTTAATCAAGCCCTTGACTTACTTGAATGATCCTTTCACATCTGGGGTGTCCAATTAGTATTTACCATCATCTTTGGGTTTATGTATTTAATCCCCTCTGAGGGGCTTCAGATAGAGACCAACACTTGGTTTGGTTGGCCAAATTAGAGGTCTGGGAAAGTGTTTCAGCTGCCCCCAGAAATAAAGAGTAATTGTTTACTGCCAAACACTTTCTGAATCTAGAGACACTGAGAAAGAACTTGTTCTGTGTTCCAGTGATAACACTCTAGGCTAAATATGTTTTCCTAGAATTGCTTTTTATTTATTTCTTTATTTAATTCCCTTTTACCCCTTTTCCTGCTTCCCCTCCAAATAATGTGTCCTGATCTCTTCAGGTGAACTTCCCCTCTCCTTGGCTGCTTGTACCAACCAGCTTGACGTGGTGGACTATCTTCTAAACAATCCCCACCAGAAAGCCAGGCTTCAGGAGCAGGACACGCAGGGCAACACAGTCCTGCATGCCCTGGTGATGATTGCAGATGACACTGAGGAGAACACCAAGTTTGTGAGCACAACATACGTTGAGATCCTGAAGGCAGGTGTGAAGCTCGACCCAACGTGTAAACTGGAGGAGATAGTGAATTATGATGGATTGAACCCTCTGCAGCTCGCAGCCAAGACAGGCAAAGTGGAGGTAAAGACAACCAGAGGGAATCCCTGGGGTTGATGAGGAACGAGGGAGAGTGTGACCTGCACCCTCAGAGCAGTGGGGTTTGAGGGAGGAGCATCTTGCACCCAACCCGTGGTAACGCTGCTGACAGGAGGTCACCTCCAAGTCAGTGAGTGTCCTGCAGAGCCTCAGCTGGCTGCTGCTCTCTGTCCCACCCAGGACAGCTGGTCTGGACCGAGTCTGGTTCTGCTCCTGGCAGAGCAGATCCAAGATACACTGCAGATACACTGCCTGCTTTCACCAAACCCTGGTGTTTGGTGAGTCCAGGCGTGTAGGGCACAAATCCAGGTGTGCTGCTGGGGAGGGTGCTTTGGGTACAGCTCTGTCCTTCTGCACCTTCACCACATGCATGTTCTTCTGTGCCCCTGGCTTGTCTCAGATCTTCAGGCACATCATCCAGAGGGAGATCAAGGACCCCGTGTACCGGCACCTGTCCCGCAAGTTCACCGAGTGGACCTACGGCCCCATCCACGTGTCCCTCTATGACCTGTCCTCCTTGGACAGCTTCGAGGAGAACTCTGTGCTGGAGATCCTGGCCTACAGCAGCGACACCCCGGTGAGGGCCTCACGGAAAGCCCCACAGCAGCACCTTCTCCTGTCCTTCCACAGCGTTGCTGTGCAGTCACGCAAATCCCTTTGAGTTAATCCCGTGTTTCAGATGATCGTTTTTCTGAAAAAGAAATTGCAGATTTTACTATTTGCAGTCTGCTTGGCCTGCCTCTGATCACCTATAATTCCAGACAAATTTTTGATCCTAAGTCTGGGTGTGTCCGAATACCTTGACGAAGCCAAGCAGAAGTAACTTCTTATGGGATTGTTGATTTCTTTCATACTGCAAGGCCTGACTGAATGAACCCTTAATGATTCCCCAGCTGGAGCCACTGAGCTCCAACACCCAAAAAGACAATCCTCTGCTGAGTTTTCACCCCTGTTGACACACAGGTCCATTTTTGCTTGTTTGTTTTCCCACAGAACCGGTACAAGATGGTGGTTTTGGAGCCACTGAACAAACTGCTCCAGCAAAAGTGGGAAACTTTTGCTTCCAAGAGGTTCTACTTCAGTTTTGCCTCGTACTTGTCGTTCATGATCATCTTTACAGCCATCGCCTACTATCAGCCCTTGCGGGTAAAGGTGGGTCCAGTCTTTTATCTGGAAAGGCCTGGATGGATGGATGGATGGAGCAGAGTTTAAAAGGTTGTGTGTGGTTGTCATCACTGCCTCTGCCCGTCTTCACAGGCTTGGGTGCTTTTGTTTTTATCTTGCAGCCTTCATTTCCAGTGGAATTCACGGCTGGAGGCTTCCTGTGGGTGTCTGGACTGATCATTATCTTGTTAGGAGGCATTTATCTGATCTTTGCTCAGGTATGGAGGTCTCTGGCCTAGTTTCATTGTAAGAAAGCAAAAAAAAAAAAAAAGGGAACTATCACTGACACAGAAGCAGCAGATTCAGCTCTCCTGACATCAGGATGTGCAGGAGTGGAAGGCAGGAGGGAATGCTGCTCTGGGACATGCAATGTCAGTGGGATCCAGCAGTGACAGGGGTGGCACAAGCAGGGTTGCTGGGCAAGAGCTTCACAACAGCAAATAATTCTGAGAGACTTGCATGATTTACGGTATTAAAATGCATCCCTGGCATTTAATGCAGTCTATTTAATAAGGCCATGGGGCTGAGCCGTGATTCAGCCCTTGTTTATCCTTGCCCTTTATAAATAAGGCCTTTTTTCATCTTAGAAGCATGACTAAGTGCAATCTGGGGTCTTGAAGATGAAAGCACGAGGAGGAGCTCGTGGAGCAAAGCTTTGCCCCGAGCCACAGGCTGTGTGTGATCCCTCTCTAACCTGCCCTGCTCTTGGTGAATGGCTCCCATTGATTTTTCTCTCCCAGAGTCTGTACCTGAGGAGGAGACGCCAGTCCCTGAAGACCATGTGTTCTGACAGCTGCATCGAGATCCTGATGTACGGCCCTGAGGGGTTTGGCACAGGGAAAGTTTGGTGAAATTGGTTCCCTGCTGGGTGTGTCTGACATTGCTAGAGAGGTGGTGAGCAGGAAACATTGATCCTCTGCCACTGCCTCTTCCCATCCCTGCTCACTTCTGCCTCTTGTCCTAACCCTCTGTTGTGATGGACTTTCCTGGGCAGGGTCTGTCTGTGAAGGTCAGACCCTCAATTACTCCACAGTTAAGAACACAAATATTTGTTAGAAACAGAGCTCAAGGTCTCAATCACACTGTCACTGTGGCTCAGAATTGGTTGAAAGGAAAAGAACTTCCAAGTTTTCTGAGGAGGAATGTGCATCAATGTGCGTGTGTGGCTGGATGGATGTGGGCCTGTGTTCTAAGTGTCACCTTTTTTTTTCTATTTAATATGTTATGAGTTACACCAAGCAGTTCAGAGCTCCCACACTGGGAGAACAAAACTGCAGCAATTTGTAGGTCTGGAACTAAATGATCCTTAAAGTCCCTTCCAACCCAAACCATCCCCTGATTCTACATAAACTCTGATTGTCTGCCATTCATATACTCCTTGTAGCCTCCTAAATTTTGCTTTTCATTGAAAAGCAGAGCAGATCTGCAACGGGAGGAGATCAGACCAGCTGAGGTGAGTCACTGTGTCGCTCTGTTTGTCTCCAGCTTCATCCAGGCGTTCTCTTTGCTGCTGTCAGCAGTCCTGTATGGTGCCAGCTCGGAAAACTACGTGGCAGTGATGGTGTTCTCCCTGCTCCTGGGGTGGGTGAACACCCTGTATTACACCCGGGGCTTCCAGCGCACTGGGATCTACAGTGTCATGATACAGAAGGTCAGTGCTGGGAGGGGGGAAAGCTCTGCATGAAAAACTTTTGGGTGTGAGCAGCTCATGGGAGTCCTGTGATTGCTCTCCTTCTCTCAGCACCATGACAGCCATAAATGGAGTTGATGTCCTGGCTCTGGAAGCACAGGCACTGCAGGAGATTGGATCAGTGTCTGCAAGTACAGCTGCAGTAAACCACGAGTGTGCTCCCACTGAGCAGAGCAGGTGACAGCAGCTGACACCTGTTTGTCACCAAACAGCTCAAAACTAGCAGGGAAAACCAGTGTGAGTTCCCTGGAACTGTTAGGCTTGGCCTGGGAAGTGTTTCCAGGTCTACAGGGAGTCAAGGACTAGAAAAGCAGAGCAGAGGCGAAATGAGGTGCCAGGGGAGAATTCTGATCACTGCTTGTGCAAACCCAGTGGAGGTGGGAAAGAGGGGGATGTGTGTGCTGCAACAGTTTGGAAACAACCGTACTGGGGAACTGCCAGGATGTTGATTTGTTTCAAAGAACTTATTCATACAAACATAACAATAGATAAGTGCATACAGTACTGTCAGATTAAGCTACCAGGGATGTTACTTAACCAAGGAACTACTTTAACACATGTGAGTAGTGTCTTTAACTGGATAGAAGCGCTTTCCAACTTGCTTTCAGCGTTGCTGCTGGGGGTTGGTTATGATGGGCGAGAAGAGGGGATCATCCTGGTGATTTCATGCAAGATGAAGATCAGCACTTCCTCCTGATTTGTGTTTCAGACCATCATGAGGGACCTGCTGCGTTTCCTCTTGGTGTACATGATCTTCCTCTTCGGCTTCGCTGCAGGTGAGCCCTGGCTCGGCGTCGCGTTGCAGGCTGGGCTGCAAGAAGTGGGTTTTTCTGAGGAGAACCTCAATTGTGTTTTCCTCCCAGCTCTGGTTACTCTGATGGGCGACGCTCCCTCGGTGTCCCACAACAAGTCCCTGGCTCACCTGGAGAGCAGTGGGAGCCACGCCATGTACGGGGGGCTGCTCAGCGTCTCCCTGGAGCTCTTCAAGATCACCATCGGGATGGGCGACCTGGATTTCCAGGAACACGCCAGGTTCAGATATTTTGTCATGCTCCTGCTGCTGCTCTTTGTGATCCTCACTTACATCCTGCTGCTCAACATGCTGATCGCCCTCATGAGCGAGACGGTCACGGACATTTCTGGGTACAGCAAGAGCGTCTGGAAGCTGCAGGTGAGGCCCAAAGCTCTGCTCGATTCTCACCGCATCAGAGATGGCAGTGCCTGTCTTTTTGTCCTAAACCTTTACATGAGTCTTTCCTAAAAATTTGTCACTCTGGGGGTACACCCTGACATCGTTTTTAGATGTATTTACAGCTCTTGCTCTGTGCATGATCCACGTGCATGAGGAACTTGAGGGAGTGACTGAGTGGGACCACTGAGCGAAGGAGCACTTGGGGACTGGGTTCCAAAGTGATTCTCAAAGTCAAAGTAGTTGCTTATTGGGGAAGATCTAATGGAAAAGAAGGGCTGGGCTCTGTAAATGCCCTGATTTCTCTCTGACATGGATTTCTTCTTGCAGAGGGCTATTGCTATTCTAGAAATAGAGAAGGCCTGGCTGTGGCGCCAGGGTGGGAAGAGGAGATCTGGCTGCTTCATGTCAGTGGGGCTCAATAAGAAAGATGAGAGGTGGTGTTTCAGGTAAGACAGATACATCCTTCACACTCCAGCCTAGCAGTGGGATCCCGTGGTTCACAGCCTGGTAACCCTGAACAGCCACAGGGAATTTCAGCACTGACTCAGCAGTGGCTCAATCACATATTCCTGGGTACATGCAAATTGGTTGGTGACTGCCAGGCTAGAAATCTGAGAGCTAAAAGAGCTGCCAGCATTGTCACCTTTGTATTAAGAGAACCTGAACTGGAGGAACAGGAGTATTTTAAAACAAACAACAAACCACGTGCAGGGGGAGAAGATATTTTACTTCATGGAGCTTAGGCTGCAGAAGATCTACTCAAAGAAAAGCTCTGTAAGGTGTTGTTGCTGCAGCCAAACCTAGGATTGTGTACAGCAGGATGAGCTGGGTTGGGAGGCTGGGTTGGAACGGTGAGATCTGGGTTGAAATGCTGTGCTCCATTCGTCAGTGCCTGCTGCATTTTGTCTCTCCAGAGTAGAGGAAATTAAATGGGCAGATTGGGCAAAGGATGTGGGAGTTCTGAAGGAAGACCCTGGAAACACCAGTGATTCAGAAATAAATCCAGAAGGTAAATTAAATCATGAAGAAAGGTCTTCAGTATCCTTTTAGCTTCCTGCTCAGCAACTGCTCTTGGCAAGTTTTTATGTCTTCAGTAATAGAGGTTTTAGACTGGCCAACTGGCTTATGAAATTGCTTTCTCACAGCATCACCTGTGAGCTGAGAAAATAAAGATTTACTGTGGGTATGGATCAGGTCAGGGTTTGGGAACAAACAGTGAGCATAAAGGAGATGCCATTCCTACTTCCCTCTGGTAGAAATGGGCAGGAAACACTGCTTTTTTTATAGAAGTGGTAAAATTTAGGCTCACTCATACTGCAAGAGTTAAAATCACAGGGCTTTTGGGGCATGAGTCTGGGCATTACCACTGACAACTCGGCCAAATTCTGCCTGAGATCATTCTGGGAATGCCACTCTGTGGCAAACAGAGAGCTGTTACTTTCTCTGGAAATATTTTGTTCAGCCTGGCAGAGCTTGGATTTGAACCCAACCTCCCACTCTTGCAGTGCAGGTCCTTCCTGCATGCCAGTTTTCTAGGACTGGGGGGGGTTGAAACATTACCTGGTGTGTGCTGGGTGTTCCCTAAACCTGCCCCCTTCTAAACTGGGTCCCTTTGTCAGCTTCCTGCTGATGAAGGGCCGTCCCTGTGTCTCCTGCTGCAGAGACAAGATCATGGAAACGGCCAGCACAGAAACCTCCAAGATCAGAGGAGCAGTCCCCCCTGCAGCCCCAGCCATCAGCAACAGAGATGATGCCTCTGCAGGGACAAACCAGAGATCTTTAACAGGTTTTCTGAGTTGCAACCTTGCTCCCATCTCCAAAGGAGTAGTTCTCCCTGTAGCAGTTGGAAGAACTGAAGGCATTATCAGCATTAAAGTGCATTTTGTCAAGGACTGTGGTTCAGCCTGTGGCTTTAAGTACTTTTATGCACTTTAATCATTAATTTCCTTTGAAGAAACTATTTTTACTCAACTTTCTCTGCCTGACACTTTCTTACTACTATGTCTAAAGATCCAAGAGCGACTCCTGGGGCAGCGGGGAGCGGTCTCTGGGAAGGCAGCGCTCCCTGAGCTGTACAGGAATAATGCTGATGGAGTGACCTAGAAAAGAGTGGGTCAACTTATTCTTTGGTCACAAGAGACTGCACTCAAGTGCTTTGAAATAAAAAATGCTGTAGAGTCATAAAAAACTTGCTCAGGATGGAGTTGGCCTCTGTGCAAAGCGCTGTGGGTGCAAGGCACGAGTGGACAAATACTCAGTGTGCAGTCAGCAAGAGCTGCTCTGAGTGTCTGTGTCAGCACCTGCAGTGCTCCTTTGGTCAGTCCACATCAGCATCCCCATTTTACAGTGTTGGAATGAAATTCTCTGCACGATGTGCATGTTTGCTTGAAAGCACATGAAGTGATGTGGATTTCTCAGACCTGTGAGTTCACCCGGGGAATTTCGGAGGCATCTGTCTCTCACAGGTTGCTCTGTGTCTGTAATAAACAGCAGCAGGATCCTGCTCGTGGCTCTGAGAGACTGATGGGCCAAAACTTACTGTGTGGTTGATGTTTCCTGTCAGTTCTGGCAGCCTTGACATCCTGTCTTGCTGCAAACGTTTGCAAGGACCTCGTTCCTTTTTGTGACGTGCACCCAGCCCCAGGCAGGAGGGGCAGCCTGAACTCTGTGGAAAAGAGATAAAAATGAGCTGTCTCACTTTTCACTATATTTAAAAATAATAACATGTAACATTTCTGTAAACTGTCAATATAGCAAGTTTGCTTCATTGAAAATATCCATCCTTGGACATATTTTTAGCGTTTCAGTCTTTCTCAAAAAGCAGGAGAAGGGGTGATCAGTGGCCTTATCTAATTCCTGATGACATTTCCCCCAGTGCTGTGCTGCCCTCGCTGCTGTGCCAGTTAAATTGGTTTTCACCACCTCCTGTCAGTTTGTGCAGCCCCATCTGAGCGTTGAGCAGCTGATGCTGCACTGGATGCCCCTTTCACACAGGGAACGGTGATATCCCCAGGAAAGCTGCAGGCTCTGAGTGTTGGCCTTCCCTTCAGCAAGATAAACTGTGCAAACTGGAGATCTCTGTCTCCCTTCTACTCTGAGTGAGGCTTGGAGGTTTGTCTTCTGGAGACAACCACCCTAATCCTCACTGCCTGCAGGGGACTGGCATTGCTTTAAAACTCCCTCCCTGCAACAAAATGGGCTCTTCCCCCGTGCTGGGCAACTCCCCTGCAGCTTCACCCCACTGGGGCTCTGAGTGCTAAATGACTTTTCTCTCTCCAGCTTCTCTTGTTTTCTTGCTTTGTGAAGCCTTCAGCTGCTTTTCCCATCTATGGCTTTGTCCTAAGTGTTCCCAAGATTTGGCAAGGTGCTCACACTGTACAAAAGGATCATCTGGCATATGATAAATCTATTGCTGTGCCTGGTGCTCTGCTGTGGTGGGGACTCTTTGAGAATCTCAGAGAATGCAGGATCAGATCTGCCATCCCTGCCTGGAGTCCTGATAAATAACAAAAGAGAAATCTTGCTTCCTGGTAGTTTTGGAAAGCTGTGGGCTGTGACAGCTTCCTTCCAACACAACCTGCCCCTTCAACCATTCCCTCAGCCTCCTTCTCTTTAAATCCCTTCCCTGAGCTTGCAGCACTCATTTATCTTTTGACCTGCATGAGAAATGTTCTGCTGTGAAACAGGGCCTGGCATTCCCTGTGCTCCCCCAGCCCCAGCTCAGCCCAGCAGTGCCAGCTCAGCCCAGCAGTGCCAGGCTCCCCCAGCTCCTGGATGGAGGATGCTGGGCAGGGACAGGCACGTCCAGCTGGTGGGAGGCTGTTGCCCAGCTCTTTGATGAGCTACAGAAAAAAGGGGATTTCTGAGGAGCTGCCACCTCTCTGCAGTGAGGATGAGTCAGCACTGTGGAGATTGTCATCAGTAGCCTCCCAGTGCACAAGGCTCCCCTTTGGTTCCACCACTGAACCACTTCCCTGTCTGGTCCCGTTGCAGACAGGAAGGCTGGCTGGGATTTGTTTTGTGGGATGCCTACAGGAAGGACTTACAAGCTGGCTCGTAGCTCTGAAGGCCCAGAAGGATTTTGGGACCCTTAATAGATCATAATATTTTGTCAGGAAACACTTCAGTCATTTACATGTCATGTAAATGACTGTCCTCTCCTTTCTACCTCTTGTGACAGGTGAACCCACCTGCACGTGAACCCCTTCCTGGGCAGATGGGGAGGGTTTGCAGGGCTCTGCCAAAGCAGGAACCTTTCACAGACATCAGTGAAGGAACAGCTGCAGTTTCTCTCCTCTGTCTGCCCTGTGTGCATGAGCCAGAGACTCTGGAGGCCCAGCCACGCCATGAAGAAGAGGCACCAGCAGCTCCCAGTGCTTTCCACACGGGATCAGGGATTCTCCAACCCTCTCCTGTGTGCCTTGGTCAGAGCTGCTTGGCTCCTGGCAGGGTGGGATGGGAATGTGGGCCTTGGGCTTCCAAACTTTCCACTTCCAAACTTTCCAAACTTTAACTGCCCACTGCTCCCTGTGCCTTCTCCAGAGGGCTCCAAGTGCTTCCACCTCACAGTGATCTATCCCGCAGCTTATCCGTGCCATTTTCCTCAAAGAAACCTCATATCTGGTTTGTGTGGCTCCTAATCCCCCACCAGACCGTTTTCCTCAGGGGCAGAGGTGGAACCAAGGCTTTCCTGCTCCTCAGATGTTTTGCACATTTTATTTCGCCATCGGATTTTTTTCCCCTCCCCGTTTTTCCAACGCCTGCTCTGAAGCCGGAGCCAGCAAGGGGAGGTGTATCCGTGGCTGAGTTGATTCCCCTCTCTCTTCATCTCTTCCTGACCCCACTTGCAGCTGAACATACTTTCCATTGCCTCTGGAGCTCGCAGAGGGAGCCTTTGAAATGTGACAGCCCAAGGGCCCCGACGAAGAGCAGATGCTTTCTGCGAGTCCCACGAGCTGCACGGGCTCTGAAGGGCTGCAGCTGGGGCATTTCTGCAGCTGGGCTGTTCCTGGGGCTGCCTCTCGCTTTTGGTCTTTAAGAAACTTCATTTGTTGCTCTGGGAGTAAAACAAAAATAAAGTTGGGGATGGGGGGTGGGGAGGAGTGGGGGAGAAAAGACATTTTAAAAGAAAACTTCCTCTTTGCAACCTCACATCTGCTTCAGCAGCACAAAAAAAAAAAAAAAGTGGGGCCTGGCAGGACCAGGCAAAGGCTCAGGAAGACGTGACTGTGGCTGGCACAGAACTGTTACTAAATCTGAGTGCAAAGGGTGGTTTTTTGCTTCCTCTTTTAACATAATCTTTTTTTTCCAGTTTAGATTTGTGAGATGTGGAGTGCTGCAGCATTTCTGGACTGGGAGGATGGTTGTCAAATGGTGATATGGGGAGGAATCCTTTAAGATGAGAGCTGGAGGTAGCTAAAAAGTGTCCATGTGGTTTGTTGCACCCTTTTCTGAGAATTGTTGGAAAATTCAGGCTGTCTGGGTAAAGAGAACCACGTCTCTGTTCCACTGGGAGGAAGATCCACCTGCAGTTGGCAGCTTTGGTTTTGCTGGTGTTCACATCCCCAACTCACAAGTCAGGCACTCAGTCCTGTTGCAAATAAAATAATTCCGCTCTTTTGGAGCCCTCTGGCACAAAACCTGGGTCCATCCAGGACCAGAATGATCCCTGCCCTGGTCAGGAGGGGAAAGCAGTGGCTGCTGAGAGGCCTGGGGACCATTCAGCAGCTTTGGCTGCAAGGACAGCGCTGATCCAGCACCGCAAAAAAACCTCCTGCAGGGGCTGCAGCTGCTGCTCTGGTGCTGGGCAGGCCCCTGGAGTGTCTGCAGTTCCTGCAGGAGCTGTGGAAGCGCTCCAGAGTCCAGCAGAGGCTGCAGGAGTTGTGACCCAGGTAACACTGCCCTGTGCCAACCTGCTTGGCAGTGCCACAGGCAATGACCTCTGCTCATCCCTTCCAGCCTGCAGCAAGTACCTGAAGGAATCATGAAATTTGGGATAAGACTGGGGAAAAAATGTCTCTGCCTGGGGTGTGCTGTGTTTGTGTCCTGTTCTCATGGTTTGTAGGAGGGAGGTCCTCAGTTTTGTTGTTCTTTCCCCGCTGTCAAACAGTTGAATGATGGTTTTGTTGCTGCTGAACTGGTTGCAGGATCTGTCCCTGAGGATGGCTGTAATAAAATAAATAATAGGAAACGATCCACATATAAGTAGATATGCGATGTTTTGTTCTAAAAATTGCCTTACTCTGCTGCAAAGGACACCAATCCTACAGAGCTATATATAGAGAATTCCAGGGAAAGGGCTGCTTGCCTTTCTCTGGAGCACAGGTTGGATCTTATTTAGGGTCTGAGCTCTGCCCACTTGATGTGAGCCACGATGGGGTGACAGATCCTGTCCTTGCTGGAGCTCCGCTGGATGGGGGGGAAGGAGGAAGGGTTTACGTCCATCGCCTGGAGACAGAGGTGAAAACACTGGTAGCGTAAACACTCCATGTTGGGGATTTTCCAGCCGTGCCTGAGCAGTGACAAATAAAACATTCCTGCCTCGTGCTCCCGCCGGCCGTGCTCTCCCTGTATGGTAGAGGACTGAGGGCTGCAGCCAGAGCTGCCGCCTGAGGCACTGGGAAATAAAAGAGAAACACAAAAATGACATTATTCAGTGCAAGAAATAAAACTGTGCGGGACTTAAGGTGTGCTCTTACCCCAGAGTGGGAAAATCCGGGTTTTTTCCTGGACACAGACAAAGTCTTTAGTGCTACACACGTGAGCAAGGGGAGCTGCTGGGACTTTCCTTCCCGGGACATGCAGAAAACAAGTGTTGTGTGTGGCCCTGGCTGCAGGACCTGTTACACAGCACCCAGGGTGGAAGTTCATTGTGTCATTTGGAATGAGAAGTGAACTTCAGCAGCAGACCGGGGGAACCCTCCTGGGTG